AATTTAGAACTTATTTACTTCGTGAGAAACTATGTTAATTGTATCTATACATGTGGATGAATGTACAGTCGTAAAAAACAATTCAAGAACTAAATATACCGTATCAAAATATCTCCGATTTTAACTATACGAAAGTTAAATCAAAGCTAAAGCAAGCGTTATTGAGACATGACCTATTTATATGTGAGAAAGTGTTTGTGTAACAAATATCTTTTTGGACACTTGTCTTATTCTGTTCCTTAAAATCTGTAAGCCCGAAACGTCATCAAATACAAAATTACATATACTGCGTTAAGCCTCGATTACACGGGGCGAGTTTACAAGCTACAAGCCAACGAGTTTGCTAGCAGCTTGTATCTCGCCCCGTGTCACCGGCTTTTTTACCATCTGCTACTCGATGATACGGGGCGAGTTTACAAGCTACTAGTGAACTCGCTGGCTTGTAACTTATTAATTCGCCCCGTGTCATCGAGGCTTTAGGTGTACGTAAAAACAAAAGAAATAATATCGATATCATCTCTCTTTAATCTTCAGTTATTTCTATTTTTGACGACCTCCGTGGCCGGTTGGTTTGTACGCCGGGTTTCATGGTGTCGCCGACTCGAGAAGTCCCGGTTTCGAATCCCGGTGGGGGCAGATGTTTGTTGATGAATACGAATTGCATTTGTACTCCAGTCATGGATGTTCAATATGTATTTCTATATAAATATACTTTAGATTTTTTAATTCTCTTAATATCTTGTATGTATATGAACATTGTACAGTATATGTATTCTATCCGTTTCCCTAGCATCCCATAACGCAAGCCTTACAGTGCTTACTTTGGGGCTAGTTAATTGGTGTGAGTGTTAGAAATATTTATTTATTTATATTTAATATTTGTTCTTTTTGTCTTCTCATCTTTTTCCGTGTCAAGGACACGGATGACGAAAATCTTGTATCAAATAGCAGCCTTAAGAACGAGCAGAAAACTATTTATACATAATGTAATTGATTTCTGATGATTAATAAGTCAATCATGTATAGGAAATAAATTAAGAAAATTAAAAATATATATATAACTCTTTGTCATAAATACGAAATGAGAGGCTTCGTGGAAGGAGTAAAAGTACCATAATTAGGCCTCAGATTATTTATCGCTTTAAAATCAATCCACGCTAGTAACCCATTAAAGTAATAAGCATAGATACAGTATTAGTCAATTTTATAAATTGTGGCGGAAATAAATTGATCACACCCCAATGCATAAGCAAAATGCTCGATGCGAACGGATATTACTATTGACATTTCCAATGTCAAGCCGCCATTTCCTGTGCTCCTACCAGTAGCTCCTGGTGTTATTGAGTTGTTTCCTTATGTAAGATATTTGTATACAATGGTTACATAGTTTTCCTCCTTTCATGACTACATGAAAAGAGGTATTTTATACGGAGCCGCCATCTCGCCTGGAAGTAATCTCCACTTTAGAGAAAACCACCGTATAACACTACCTTTTGGTGGTGTTGTTTCCGTCGGTGAGAAAGGCTCCACGTGGCAGGTGATTCGGTCAGGGTTTTAATATAATAAAAACCTTAAATAAATCTAAATCTTAGATACTCGACAAAGGCTCATCCTACTTCTTATGCAATTTTTTTTGGAGTTTACTCCTTAAGAATCGATTTGCATATATAAGAGGCCCGGTATGAGAAAAATGTGAGGAGTAAAATCTATCGATGAATGACCTCGTTACGTTTTTGGTGGGCATCCTATGTGGCGCAACTTTGACAAACAAAGATGACGGATTGACATTAATAAATTTTTTAAAATCTGAACTGAATTTAGATATTGTTTCTGATAGAGCAATGGGGACAACGAGGTATGGTACAACCATTGATGCGGTATTTTCAAGATTCGTGAACCACGTATCTACGAACGTCCATGCGTCTTATTTTAGTTACCATAAACCACTTGTTACTCTAATTAATAATGCAGACAATGTTGATTTAATTAATATTTAAGAAAATGATAATAGTCTGATAATAATAATTGCATAATTTATCAACATTAATAAATAAATAATAAATAAATAAATATTTCCAACACTCACACCAATTAGCCTAGCCCCAAAGTAGGCACTGTAAGGCTTGTGTTATGGGATGCTAGGGGTAAAGGATATAATACATATACTTTACATATATAAGTATATTTATATAGAAATACATATTAAACATCCATGACTGGAGTACAAATGCTCGTATTCATCACACAAACATCTGCCCCCACCGGGATTCGAACCCGGTTCCTAATGATATATTTATGCACATCTGAAATTGACTATTGTAAAAAGTTTAATGTAAAATATTTCGTCGACTAGTTGTAATAAATGTATATGAAATGAATAAATATATATTTATATATGTATATTATTTTCATTAATTTATTAATTTACCCTTTCATACAGTATCAATCTTTTTTAAGTTAAATAAACTCTTTTTGCGTCTGGTTAGACTATCGAACTTAAGGAGTAAACTCCAGTCGTGCGTCGGAGCTGACACACACAATTTTTTTTTTTTTTTGATCAGGCTACATAGAACCATAGATAAATAAAAAATGTGCGTGGCACTCGGGGACTGCCGCGGTAAAGCTATTGCATAGCATTTTTTAATTTTATCAACTTATGCAATTATAATTACTTATTTATCTATATTTTTCTTTGATATCAATTCAAGTTACACTTTTTGAGCGTGGTGACCGATAAGAAATCATTTTTTTTTCTTTTATTGAATAAACGAGAAGTTAATATAGTTTAAAACATAGATAAATGGTTGGTCTTGTTTCACTCGACTAGATGCCGCGCTGTCAAAAAACAACAGCTCCGTAAATGCGGCAACTCATTAATGTAGTGTGAGTATGTCAATTAGCATCATTACGATGCTATCACAGAATACGCTACTAGTTAGAATCCACACGGGTAAAACCGTGAGATATTGCTAGTAAGTTATATACTAAAACCTTCTCAGAAAATGCGTATTTACGCATAAATATGCGCTAAAACCCCATCCAATTCGGATCCGTAACTTTAAGATTAAATAACATGCATACATACAGATGAAACTGAGAATATCCTTTTTTGAAGTCTGTTTAAAGACTGACTGTGCAGCCGGAACAGCAGCAATATAAAAAAAAGAATAAACTATAAATAATTGCTGAACATTTTTGGAGGTAAATTAGGTTTCTATGGGATTCTCAAAGCGGACGAAGTCACGGGTGGCCGCTAGCATTTTAGATAATAGAGACCCGGCAAAGGCTTATCTTATATAAATGTATTATATTCTGTATTTTAAACTTACTACTTATATTAATTCCACAAGTACGTTAAGCTCTCGTAGCAAAGCGGTCAATGCATTCCAATCGATCGGATAGTGAAACACCACAGAAATTGATTAATCTGCGTAAAATCCACTGACAGTACAGCTGGGCAATTGTTTTTAGTAAAATGTGTTTTAAAAGTAATGATTTAGCAGCATTTTGCATTTTCGCAAAAGCTTCTTACATGATTTCTTTGTAGTAAAATTTATTTTTATTGATTTTCAACATCTGAATCACACCAATGCATCCCTTCTTTACCTGTGTATTCAAGCGATATTATGCTGTGATACTGTGATTCATTATTGAGAAGTACATATTATATGAATAAAATAACAGCTGCTGTAGAGACGCTGAAACTGCGGCGGCTCTAGCTTAACTTGCAGCAAAATCCTAGATATAGCTTGCGATAAATCAATCGATGCATACATTCCTTTGCAACGAAAGCATCACGTAATTCACGTATAAACTTCTTCTATTGACCATTTGCATCGCACTGCGTCTGTGCATGCAGTAAAACGCTCCAACCTTGACATGATGCAGGCTGTCGTTATAAACGGACGAACGGACTGATACCCCATTATTTTTGTATTGCTACCATTCACCCTTCACATTTAATATAACCTCCATTATTGTATGCAAAGTGTATGGGTAATTATGATGGTAGATGCAGATTATTATATTAAAATATGAATCCCTTTTCCGAGTTACGTCAGAAGGTAAATTATTACCATGAATAATAAATTAATGAACATTTCTTCAACGTTGAACTTGCTAATTATTCTTATTAAAATGAAGAGAGGAAAGGGAAAGTAAGTAACCTCCTCGTCACAGAAGGCAGCAGGTGAATTAAATTGTTACTTGTATTCCTGATTTGTAGAGCTCTATGGGGGTAGGGGAATGGAATCAAGGTAGCCAATGCGTAATTGTTCATTGGGATTGCAAACGTCTATAGTAAGTAGCGGTTGCTTAGCATGCGCATTTGACATAAAAAAAACATGTGAAGGATAACGTACCTAATTTAACTAGAAAAAAACGAAAGGAAAGAAACTGTTCAGCAACAAGAGCATGAAATCTGTCCAGAACTTACCCAAAATATTTGTTTTATTATATCGATAGCAAATGAAAAAAATAACTATTCTGCAAAAGCAAGCTAACAGCCCAATGCATTTAGGGCGTTGGGCACTCTTCTCAACAACAACTCCTAAGCAGCAAATGTGTTAGTGATTATTCACAAAAATGCTATTTTAAATCGACAAACAGATGAAATGACAATAAATGGGAAAGTATAGGTAGGTAATTAGGCCATGGTTTCCGCGTACCAGCGAAAAACGAGTTCACTGAAACTAGAACTGACGATGAATACTGTCTTGTGTTTCTTGAAACGAGTTTTCTTTTTTGCTTCTTTATATACATTTCCTTGAAAAAACATTGCCGGGCCACATTTAGCGGTACCCTTGAAAGGTCTTTATGCTTTTTTAGGAATACAAAATACTCAGCGTTAAATATTTTGCCTACGAATTTGTCTATGTGATATTATTTTCTTTTTGTCAATCGGTTTACACATTATCTAGATTGGAACCTATATTGTATTTGTAAAATAAAGTTGACGTAATATAATGTTCAATGAATATAGAACAGTTTATTTATTGCAGAGATGGAAATCGTGCCCGAGGGGACAAACTTTCGATTGGTAACCGAAGAAGAGCTCCCAGCTGTGGCCGATATTTTAGTGCAGTATATGCCTGAATCTCTAAAGGTATACCAAACATTCTATAACTCATGTATTATACGTGGTCATTATTAAATAAAATTAGAACTAGTAAAAGTTTAATCTTTGTTTAATGACAAACTATGCTGCTACATATTAAAATTCATTAGAATCAGTTTTCTTAATTTTATAACTATTAACGGAATTGTTACCATGTACCTTGTTTTTTATGAGTCTCCGATATTTCGGCACTGTTGCAAGCGCCATGATCACGGAGTAACATGTTACTCCGTGATCATGGCGTAGTTGGCATAGTTGTAATGTTAGTGACCATGAAAGTATAAAACAATATATCAGTTTTCTTAAAATGGAGAAATGAATGAATGATGATTCAAATAACTATTAGAGAAATCCGAATGATTAGAAAGATTTAGTTAATTTGTTTTAATGAAATTATAATAACTATGACAATATTAATTCGCTTCCCGTACGCACTTGGTTAGTGATTTTTATACTGTAACAAGTTATTAATGAACGAGGATTTGTTTAACAAGCATTTATCTTTGTTTTGTGCACAGTTTCATCAGACGATTCAAACATATCTAAACAACAAGGTGTGGGACTTCCATTTTTATGTAGCGAAGAATTGGCCCGAAGACCCGATTTGTGTACACTTCCCCGGATGTACTAGTACAGTGAGTACCTTCGAATGCCATATTGCTAACAGAATTTTCATCAGTTTGAGTTCATAAATTCTACACCATTATTTCACCTTTTGGGTGTTACAGTTTTTATAATGTTGTCTTAATTTGGTACTCACGTCATTATTTTAATGCTTTTATGAATGCGTACCAATTTCATCCACATCCGTCCAGTCGTTTTTGCATGATTGAGTAACAAACATACAAACACACAAACTTTCACATTTATAATATTAATAGGATTATATTGCATAAGTTATTGGGTTTCTTACCAAAAAATGATATTTCCATTCCTTTTTTAAATATTCCCGTGAAAAAGACAGGTAAAATTGGAAGAGATCGCAAACCCGACTTCAAGAGACTCTCATCTTCACTCGAGGGTGACATTTCCGTGCTGCCCTTTTAAGAGAATCATGAAAATATTTATTTGCCCTGCTTTTTCTCTTTAACAATGTTTTCGAGATAAAAGCTCTAGGCGTTTTATTTAAATAAATAAGCATTTGCTTTCATATATATTTAGGATTGACAACGATTATTATTCTCCGCCTATGTAAAAAATAACTCCATTCTGAAATCCCCGACAACCACATACCACATCGGGCTTGCTTATGTCATTTCCCTAGTGACTCTTTATGTAACCATTCTTGGAAAAGTCTTTAATTGGGTTTTTATTATGTTGATTTTTGTTACAATGAGGAATAAAATTGAAAAAAAAATAGCATTTTTAAGCCATCTTGGTCTTAAAGTATTCTATATTGGTTTCAATTCAGATATTAACTTAAAACGCATATTTAATAACATAATAATAATTTCGCAACTTTGTGCAATGTCTTCATAGATTTTTACTTACAATCTTAATTATTTGGGTATTTTGTTTCCTTTTTTGTATGGGTTTGATTGTCTGGCATACGCGTAATACAAGTCTACTTAAGTAAATTTTTCCTTCAGTTTCTTTTCATTTGTTAAAGAGTAAGCTCTCCAGATTTCAGAATTAATAAGAACTATTAAGTACAGACAGCTACAGATCTTGCAAAACTGCTAATTTTCTCCAACCGATTTTGTGATTTTGTCTCGCTTGATATAAGATTCATAAATTGAATCAGAAAGTTTGCCGCTATGTGGTTGCTTTTCGGTATAAATCAATGTATTGCCGGCTGAAAGGAAGTTATATACCTAACGTTAGGAACATAACTTCCTTGGCTGGCTGTTCTTTATAAGTTCATTCTTTTGTTTTCCAGCCCAACTGCCTTCCACACGAGAGCGTGACGGTGTTCTGTCCCTCGGAGCGTGCCGAACTGGTAGACCTGGTGACCTCGGAGGACGTACTCATCGACCTCACCCAACCCCTGTACCTGAACTTCACGCACGAGGCTATTGTGAACCGGTTCGAGAGGCACTATGAAGCGCACGACAAAATCACCGGAGATGTCTATGTCTGTGATAACCCCCCGAAGGAGGCCTCCACTGATGGGTGAGGGTCCTTAGTGATTCTCTTTGTCTTTATTAATCTTTAGTCTTCTAGATTAACGCCTAAAAGGTGACAACGGAATCTTTTTACTGACTTAAAACGACGCCCGCCACTGGGCCATCTCTTTACAAATGAAGAAATAGGTATTTTTGTAGGATCCTATTTCAACTACTGACGTTCTCACCTTCAAATAAAAAGGTACTTATTTTCATTCAAATTGAAAGTATGAAAACAACCCTTTTAAATAGTCAAAATTTTAAACTATGTAGAAGAACTGGTGAAAGAATCTGCACAACCTTAAAGAAATAGTAACGACACAAAGTCGTGACATTGTCAATCAAGAAGGCCATGTCTCATAGTACATTAAATTGCAGATTGCCACCGGACGTGGAGCTAGTTCGGCTGCAACCGGAGCACATGAAGGCCGTGTACGATCTGTACCCGGCGAGTGATATCGAGTGCCGCGAGGTGTTCGAGAAGCTCGTGGCTGAGCTGCCGGCCTACGGCATCTTTGTGGAGGGCGAGCTCGCTGCCTGGATGGTGCAGTCCTACTACGGCGCCATGTTCTCCATGCAAACGCGCCCTGAGTTCCGCAGGAAAGGATACGGCATCTTCTTGGCCCGGCGGCTCACCAAGGAGGTCGCCGCCCGCGGCTACAAGCCCTTCGTCGTCATTCGTCCGGAGAACGACGCGTCTCGCTCTCTCTACACCAAACTCGGCTTCGAGAGGCGTTTCAGAACCGTACGCGCCGTTCTGCGCCCCCGCTAAAGCGTTGAAAGTTGATCACTAGCAGATTTTATTTTTTTAATGACTTTTGAAATCAATCTAGCTTGCGATCTTTGATCGCTTAGAAAATTTTAGTAGTAGCTTTAAGATTAGCGGCTGCCGCTGTCGGTCTGTATGACAACCGTAATTTGACTCGTAAAAGTTAAGTATGCCAATAGCGTTTCTTAAAAATTTACTGATCTTAGTCGTGACAACGAAAATATAAACCATTGATATTGACCATATTTGTTGTTTCCAAAATATTGCTATGCGTTTCTCTCTGCTTAAAACAGACATGAAAGCGGCCGCCGCGAGCTGCGTTCTCTGGCGCAAGCCTAGTCACTGATCTCAACGACTCTAACGTGCCAAGATCTGATCCGAACCAGTTCCTCTGGACTCTATGGATTTTTTTAAAATTATGTTTACGAATTTATTTGAAACAAACATCAGCACTACGTGCCTATCTTATTTTAAATATTATCAAATGTCTTTGTTGTTACTTTGTTCCATCGATGAATCGGATTGTGATATGAGATGTAAGCAATTAGACAAAAAAACAATTGAATGTCAAATGGTTTCGTCACGCTCTTGGCATCGTTAGCCTCTCATTTTAGGCGAACGCTTCATTACCACTCGTTGATCGTTCGGAAACTATTCTGTCTCATGGTTTATGAAATTTTGGGACCCGTTATGACCTGTGTGATAAAACGTTTAGTGATATGCATGTTGAAAGTTTGCATGCGAGAGCCGCATGAGAAAGAAAGGTTGCCGCAACGCACTCCCCAGATTGCACAATTCGATTAATAAAAGCACTATAACGTTATCCTAACTAATGCAATAAGATTAATTTAATAACATTTTCGGATAATTAAAATTACATTTAATTTTACATCAGTCCATAGTAAAAATAGATGTGACCCATAAATGATTTTCGAAAGTGGAAAAGTGACCGAGAAATTGTGCTCTTGACGATTAGAGAGAGAAAAGTTAAGGACTGAAAACTGACTTTAGAAATCGCAACTACCCCATCGTCGTAAGCAAAAAGAATACCGTATTATTATCAGATTAATATCGTGAAAATATATTTTATACAATTATAGCTACAGCCAGTTTTCAGCCCGAGCTTTTCAGAATAGACTGGATTTTTATAAATCGATTAGTAGTTCGTTGGATATTATGATGATAAAAATCACATGAAATTTCATATGAAATGTAGATAGGTAGGTATTTTAATACGGGAGTATATTTTACAAACTATTACAATTACTATCTACTTGAGATTTGCTATGCGTATACCATAATGCTTAGATATTAATTTAACTAAGTTTTATTAAAGAGAACGGTATTATTATTGGGTGATATATTTATTGCTTAAAATTAGACACTATTTGTACCTTGATTTTTAACTTTATGAAACTACTTAAAGACTGGCGTGTATGCGAAGAATTAAAGATAGAGGCATGGTGGGACAATAGGAAAATAAAGCAGTATCAAGTCGGAAATCATTACTCCTTGATTATATTTATCATAACGTCCTCTTAAACTTCATTGGTGTATATTAATAACTTCAAAATTATTGTTTTTTGTTGATTTCATCGTTACTCTTTTTTTTGTTTAGGGACCTGTTTATAAAGATTCATAAGTGAATATCAAAGCTTTCTTTAATTGTCTAACTTGTTTTCATTATAATTTGGTAACGGACTAGGTAAAATTGGCAGAAGCAATGTCAAATTTTGCTCAATACAGGGAGCTTCCATCTATTCGTTTTACTGATACTTGTTGTGTTGAAAAGAAATTACGGCCAAATTATTAACTATCGGCAAAAATATCGTTATAAATTGTGCTTGTCTCTAGTCTCGTGGGATATGACAGCTATCCCCTAGGATAACGATTACTTCTAAACATAGTCTACGTTTTTTCTTTATCATAATTATATTCTCAATAGGCAGATGAATTCTATGACATAATACTTTATGTCTTGTTATCAAATTTGTAACTAATTATCGTTCATCTGCTCAATTGAAATCATCATTTCAACATCATGCTATAAGCTTTCCTACTTCCTAAGTGGGTGAATACCTACGAATTAAATAAGTAGTTCGTGATTTCTTAAATTATTATTAAACTTAAGATGCATTTTTCCCGAACACCTTAACAATGATATTAATTAATAAAGGACACAAGTTCCGTCCTATTGGTTGCAGTGAAATATAGAAGCAGTATATTTTGAACGTCTGCGACAATATAAAGAATGTAGTGTCCGTTCTGTATTGTTTAACAGTTAAACACTTACCTATATATACCTTGCAAAGGTATTCAAAACAAATAAAATGAAACAATCTATAAACGTGTTTTAATTCACCTATCCTAAAGGCTCCTCATGTTACCGTAGTCGTAATAAATCAACCAGGTGGACCTGTATCTAAGTACCAATTCGACCTACAAAGGTCGAAGGAGCTCTGCTGGATGTGGGCAAAACAGGCCTGATCAATGTGGAGGTCTTATGGAAGGCCGCTGATGCTTAGTAGTGTTGTCCGTCGAATGGTTGATTGGATATGTTAATGATGATAAAGTTTAATAAAGATTAGCCAACCATAAGACCGACCGTTACGGGGCGAAAAAGAGGCAAGCCGTTTTTTTTTTGTAAAGTACGATTTTATTTAACTCCATTCACTGAGAACAGCGAAGCGGGTCGATAAAGTAAAATCACTTTATTCAACCTCCTGATGCCCCCACTACTGGGACATAGGCCTTCTTTATGGACGAAATGTGGAAGAAGAGTTGCAACCCACTATGCGGGCCCGTTCAGATTTGTGGGTGGTATAGATCGCGCCAAACTTCTAGTCCACTCTGAACTTGCTTAGCGCAGGTGTACAGTCGTTTACAGATCGCGCCATTCTTCTAGGCCGCTCTGAACACTGCACAATTCAAAAGACCAATGCGATATCTTTATATATATAATTCTTCTGTGAGTGTGTATGTCACTGAACTTCTCTTAAACGACTGGACCGATTTTGATGAAATTTTTTGTGTGTGTTCAAGGGGATCTGAGAATGGTTTAGATTCACAATTTTGTCCGCTGGACAATGTTTTTTTAATTAATTTTTAATTTATTAGTAGTTGTTGATTTTGGAATGTTTTACATTGGATCCGACAGACGGCGCTACCATACTAGACAGGACAACGTCTGTCGGGTCCGCTAGTATAGGTATATAGTTGGACGTATAGGTATATTGGACGAAGATTTTATATGTACACACACTGTACACCTACGTGAAGCAACTTCAGAGCGGGTTCGAAGTTTGGCGCGATACATACATATAGGTCAAATTGACGATTTTTTTGATGTCGTATTTGAAAATTAATGTGCAGTATTAGCAGAGTGGCTCTAGATATAGATGGTATATGATCTTGACACTTTTTTATATAAATAGTTTAAATAAAGTGCTCTATCAGGTGCCAAATCGGCTTAGTGGCTTATAATATATTTTAACATAAAAAAAATAGAATAAAACTGCTTCATTTTCACTTCTAAAAAATTTAATTCTTTTGAATGTTCCCATGAATAATAAAAGATATTAAATAGAAACTGTCTTTCATTTCATATATGCTATGCACAATGCAGACGATACTTATAGTGCATGAGGGATAATTCAAACAAGCAGCGCTGGACGGGTAGAACTAGAGACCAAGGAGAAATAGGAGATTCTTGTCATTGAACTCGGTCAGGGTTTGGACTACATTTCCGAACGGTAGTAAGATTTTCCCCTGCCCCCTCTTCAGGACACAGCACTGGCGCTACAGAGCAACATCAGCATTCTCGGTATGGATGTTGGCTCTGACTCTTACTCGATGCTTTGATTAGGTAGAGCGGCGCGTTACCCGCATCAGAGGAACCTACGTAACGAATTCGTTCTCTCGACTATAGCATGTTGAGTGTTCTGGGGAGTTATTTTCCCTTATTGCTGCTTCCCCTTAGTTAGATCACGCGCACTGGCCTACTTTGCCTCCTACCATGACAACGATTCCTACACGATCAAAGCAATTTGGTCAATTGGATCTAAATCGTATGGTATTGAATCGGTTTCGTTTAATCCTGGAAAATCGTATCAATTTATAAAATTATTAATAAGGCACAGTACACGTGCAAAATAATTTATTCATCGCTTACGTTTAATTTATAAAAAAACTAAAATTACATAACGCGTCGCTAAAGAGGGGGGGGGGGGGCAGGGGATACACAAAAAATGTAAAGAGCAAGCGCACGTTGAGCTACTAATGGCAGCCACTAAACGCGTCCACAAGCGGCCAAAATTAAGCGTTGCCACAACTATGCTGCTAGCGTCGTTTAGTAGCCACGATTACTGGCGTAATATATATGCGCGTGCTCGAGCCACTAGTCGTCGCGTTTAGTAACCGCGATTAGTGACTCATTGGTGTCAATTCTTATTCTTAGTTTTATGTTTAGAGAATCACGCCAGAATCGACCCCAGTGTATCCTTGTCATTCTCTATACAGAATGAAAAGGAGAGACTGATGTTAAAATTAGTTTTAAGTTTAGAGAATCACGCCGGAATTTACACCACTCTTGTCAAATTTAAGTTTAGATTTAGAGAATCATGCCAGAATCGATACCATTGTATATGAAGCTGTGAATCCTAGTAAATGTGTTAGGGCTACTCTGATAGTATGTTGGTTACTTTCACAGAGTGTAGATAATGTAGATGTTATCTACACTTTCTGAAAGAAACCAACATCCATGTTTATGATAATAGTAAAAGAAAAAAATGTACTCAATTAACGAAAGTATGAAAACCTGTGAAAACCAACCAACTGAATAAGTCGCCTATACGAAACGTCAAAGTGACAGTTGTAATGTTGCTATACTCAAAACTTTAAAAAAATAGGAGGGTCACGATTTATTAGACAGACGGCGGATGACAAGGCCGACTGCCGTGAATGCCGTTAAAGGCGCCTTCTTTTCAATGTAGGATTGTAAATGGGCCACTTTAGCAAAAATAAGTATTTTCAATTATATGGCTGAAAATAAATGGTAAAATCGATTTGACATGAATGAATCTTCTAAAAAATCGATTCAGATCGGACGTCCCTACTTTCAAAATGGCTAATTTCCCACCACAATGTTTATTTTCTGAGTTCGATGTGGTGTTTTACTTGATGTGATTGTTTTTAAACCGAATTGAGTTGTATTTATATTTATTATGACGAGTTTAATTGATAAAATAGAACTTTTAATAAAAAGAGAGAAAACTACTCCCGAGAAAAAGAAAGACGACTCAAATAAATCTTCAAGTGAAATACTTTCAGAATTATTCGGTGCTTTCAACGCCGATCCTCCAAAAATAGAAGAAATTTCTTCAAAAAAATCAAAGAAAAGCAAGAAAAAACACAAAAGGGAGAAAAAGAAACGTAGCCGAAGTAGCAGTAGCAGCAGTGATTCTGACGACAGTGATCATTCACATAGACGTAAAAAAAGAAAAAAGAGCAAGTCTAGTAAAAGAAAAGATCATGACCGGTCTCCTTCATATCATCGTTCAAAGACTCCTGTGTTAATAGTCAAACCTGACCCAGAAACTAAGATAAAAAATGAGAAATCTGTAAAAATTCAGGCAAACAAAAAAATCAAAGAAGAGAGCACTACCCCCACAAAAAAGGAAGTTAAGAGAGAACCATGTATTGAAAAAGTTAGTATTAAAGTTGAGAATAATAAAGATGTCATAGATACAAGTTTAATTCCTATGCCAGAGTCTCCAGAGCATAAATTAGATGAAAGCGATTTAAGACTTAAACTCGATAGCAAAAAGAATGAAGAAAATGATAAATCTAAAGGAAAGATTCAAATCAAAAACTTGAAATTCAGTACTGTTTTTGAAGAAACTGTGAAGAAAGCTGAAGAAGAGGCTAGGAAAAGAGCTGAAAAGTATGAGGAAGGTGAATACACAGACTCCTCTTGTGAATCTGTAAAGGAAGTAGTTGATAATGCACAATTTCCCAAAAGCTCTGATCCTGGTGGTATACTTAAACAACAAGCAGCAGAAGAAATCAAAATGTAAGGTTTTTAATTTGCAGTTTTCTCTATTGGTAGCATACATTTTTTGAGGTTCCATTCCCAAATCGTAACAACAATCGTAAACCTAATCAGTCTGTCATTGGTACTATCTAGTTGAAATATTCACAGAATGTGTATGTTTTTGCTTTCTATAGTATTAAATAATGTAAAATGGTAAGTTTTTTTTGTGTAAGTGGCTTAATTTACTACAAAGGCAATGAAAGAATGTGATATTGACAGATTGTGTTAGGTTCAAGCTCCCAACTGATATGTATTTAATATTAATTAATTATAATATTATACAAACATGCAATAGTAGAAAAGTGAATTCAATAACTCATTATGAACTAAATTAAAGCAATAAATTGTTTAACATTCTCCAGACCAGAAGAAGATAAAAGCAGTTCTAAAAGGTCTAGTTCTAAGCAAACAGAGTCTTCACAGAAGTCATCACGGAAAGAAAGGGATAAAAGTAAAGAGAGAGCCAGCAGTAAATCACGAAAAAGGTATGCCAAATTCAAATATTCCATGTATCTGCTCCATGCTCCTGCTTAATGCAGCGCAGGCCGTTATGTATTTAAAATGTGTACAAAATTTTTTTTTTATTTAATTTGAATTCAATAATTGCAGTTCTAGTGAGAATTCAATATAAAAACTAGCAACTTAATGCTGTCAGTTGTACTTGAAACACATGAAATGAAATTAGGCTATGTTTTTATACTTTGTTTACAAACATGTTTCTTTAGGTCAAGGAGTAAATCGAAGAGGTCTCGGTCTCGCTCAGCATCTCGCAGACATCGTTCAAGCCGGGACTTAGACCCGCGGCGCCGTAGTAGATCGAGACACCGGTCAAGGTCGAGGCGAAGGTCCCGTTCTAGGGGCCGACCCAGACATCCATCGCCTAGACATAGAGAGAGAGAAAGGGAAAGGGAGAGAGAGAGGGAACGAGGAAGACGTTCAAGGTACAACCACTGCTACTTGCTGAAACCTCAACAAAAACTTTTTTCTTCTAAATATTACTTACTTCCAATCCATAATCCATCCATTAAAATCTGATTTTAGCAAATTTGTTATTTACAATCTAGTAACCAGTTTAACTGCCGTATGTGTAAAATTAGAGCTATATTTCAACCTAGTATGGTTGATCTGAAGTATTTGGCTGTGCATTGGATATTTAGGAATAAAATTACCGCACTGTCAAACAGCTAACTTCAGAAAAGGTATATATCAGCCTACTGTTTGGCTGAAAGATATTATGTGTCCAAAGTAATAATAATAAACCATTTTTCCAAAACTAGAAACCAACATAACACTGTGAATGAAAACAAATCCCTAACTAACAAAACTTCCATTTAAGCATAATAAAGTATCCTGTATTTTTTAAGATCATCTTTCTTATTTTAGATTTTTTTTTGCTAATGTGCCTTCCTTCTGGGGCCCATCTGCCAACGTACTGAAAGATATCAACATCGAGTTGTCACTGGAGTTCTAGCGAGGATGTGCACATGTTTATTATTTGTAGTTTTTGTTTATTTTACAATATTATTTGTAGTCATAAAAAGATTACCATCTGGGTGTTAACTACCTATCGGTTTTGCTACTATGGCTGACCGTCAAAGGTTCTTAAATATAATCTCAAAATACTTCATGCTCATTTTCTTTAATATTGTTATCACCAACGCAAAAGACAAAAAAAAGAGCGCAAGGCAGTTGAAAGCAATACCGATAGGCGGTAGGCCCCCTGAAGTAAAACTAGTGGATACTAAAAAGGCAGATTTATTTTTGAATGATATTAAAATTTGTACAGATCACCGTCAGGTGTAAAGTTAGCGGATAGTGAAAAGAAGCGGCTATTAGAAGTGGCTCGAAGGAATGCCATCAACATGCTCAAGAACGGAGCAGTGCCGGCCGGTGCTGCTGCCTTACCACCACATACTAGGAGTCAAGTCATGGCTGCCATACAATCTGGGGGTAATTAATTACAAATTTTATAAATGTTGCTTGGAAGAATTAAACAAAAAGCAACAATTTCATATCTATTTTTGTATTTCACATTTACAAAACGTATTGATTTTTTATTTAAAAAATACTTCTGATCTGGAATCTGTATTACTAAAGTATGATTTAAGAATTCCACTCAGGAACATAATATACCAAACTGTTTATATTAAGACTAGATTTAGAGGTGTGGAGGCCCTAGGGCAACAAAGGAATGGAGGCCCCTAACATGCCAAACCAATAAATAACTTACCAATAAATTTACCATGTTTTATGCAAATAAATATTATTTACTACTACTAACGGGGGCGTTTTTAAAATCTCTGAAACCTGTTGCCACTTACCATTTGCACAACCCTTTTTGGCAGCCTGTCCAAATTTGGTTATTTTTAGGGTTCCGTGCCTCGAAAGCAAAAACGGAACCCTTACAGAAATAATAAACTTTTGCTTACAGGTAAATCAGTTGATGAGTTAACGGACTTCTGCAAACATTTATCAAAGAAAGAAGCTTTAGGTGAACTGTCTTCTGTGTCATCCAATGACGAAGATATGAGTGAGAATGAAGATACTATTGCATTCCATCATCCATTCCTTGTTAAGGAGAAAGCTCCTATTGTAATGAACATTAGGGTAAGTTTTTTTATGCTGGTACTGGTACTTTATATGGATCTATCACAACAACTATTTTTTTATTTAAATTGCAATAACAATCTTGCATTCCAATACAAGTTGGTATTAAAAATACTATGTACACTTAAGTCTCTAACGGTATATTTAATAAAATTTCATTATATTTCTCTCAAAATTGTTTCATTCAACTGTAAAAAACAACACATAAATATTATGTAAAGTTATAAAAATAATTGAGTAACTTCACATGGCTATTCATGTTTGCTATTTGTAAATTATATTTATATTTGTTATTTTAAAAGCATGTAAATGCTAGATTTTTATATCTAAAGAGAATTTAACTGGAATATATTCCACATGGAATTTGTTTTCTTATTCCTTAAAGAACATGTTAAGGATAAAACCACTGACAAATTTACAAATAGCAAATTCAAATAGCCACGTGAAGTAACTTAACTTTTTTTATAATAAATATTTGTAGTTTTTTACAGTTGAATGGAACAATTTTGAGAGAAATAAAATGAAATTTTATTAAAATTAACGGTTAGAGGATTAAGTGCACATAGTATTTTAAATACCAACATATATTTGACTGCAAGTTTTTTATTGAAAGTTAAATAAAAAAAAGTTGTTTTAATAAACTTTCATCACTGGAAAATATCTCTTAAAAACTTTCTATAGCAAGGGAATTCTATATAGGTAAATAATCTGCAAGTATACACCTCTCTACAACTGCTTACGTTTGTCTCTCACTAAACCTTGGTTTGCTGGAAGAGATCTCTCTTAGAGATAAGCCGTCCTTTGCTCACATATTTATATTTTGTGTCTTACAATTTTTTTTGTGTGCAATAAAGAGTATATATAATTTTCTTTATAATTTTTTCTAGGGTGGTGCTCCTTTACCTATTAAAACCACGGCAGCCGTGGTCAACAAGGACGAGCTTCGGTTACAGTTCCCCGTGTCGTCTGGATCTCAGCACAGAGAGAAAGCATCGGAATGGGTTCCCGTTTCCCCATCAAAGAAAGATATGGTAACAATCATAATCATAATCAAAATCGTTTATTCAATTTAGGCTGTTACAAGCACATATGAATGTCTAGAGGCACTGCCGGATTTAGGGGAGGGCAACCGGGGCGAAAGCCCCGGGGCCTCCACAAACGGGGGGCCCCACAATAGAGACTTCGGAAAAAAAATCGAAATCATCAACGATTTTTCGGCGAAAAAAGCTCGAAAGGTTCCGTCCGTTAACTCTAAGATTTAATTTCAGATAATTCTTGTTTCCGTTTATATTTATATGTGTTTGTTCAATACTAAGGGAATCTACTTGGTTCACAATAAATTATTTATTGAAAAACTCGACTGAAAAAAAATTGTTTACTTTATTTGGAAAATAATTTGGGGTGAGGGGGCCTCCGCTCCTCTGTTGCCCCGAGGCCTCTGGACCTCTAAATCCGGCCCTGTCTAGAAGCTACGCCATCGGTTCGTAAATCTACGGTGGGAGACCTTGTACTGAGAAGAACCGGCAAGAAACTCAGCAAGGGCTGTTTTTCTCCCTGTTTTATTATTTACAGAGTCGTCAAGTTGAAAATAATAAGTATCGCAGTCGTCAAGTTGAATATAATAAGTATTGCAAATAAAATGACTATTAAAGTAAATGAATTTTTAATGTTTATAATTTCAAGGCACCTTATAGTCTACCAGCCAGTTTAAATCGAGTGCTCTAGAAGAGATAACAATACTTTACATTTTATCACATCTACAGCTGAACTTTCACAATCTGAATTGAACGTTGTTAAATGAAAAGGATCCAACCCACCCAAACTTAGTTTTGAGATATGATTTTTATAATTCCAGACTGTATTTCTTCTTAAATTCTCAACTTTATCTTTTTACAAAATACAATTACAAAATCATATGACACTTGAATTTTACTTAGATCTTTGTCGTGTTTTAATAGTATTGACCTTAAGGAGTACTTTGCTATACTAAACTCACTTGCGATAAGGTTGTGGGTTGGATCCTTTTCATTTAACAATCTCCAATTATGGTTCGGAATTTAATTTCACCAAAAGTACACAAGAACAGAAATTTGGAAACTAAACTTATTTATAATAATGTGTATTTTGACGACCTCCGTGTCCAAGTGGTTTATACACCGGGTTCCAAGGTGTCGCCAACGCAAAAGGGTTCGAATCCCGGTGGGGGCAGATGTTTGTGTGATGAATACAAACATTTCTACTCCAGTCATGGATGCTCAATATGTATTTCTATATAAATATACTTATATGTGTATCAGTATATGTATTCTATCCGTTACCCTAGAATCCCACACAAGCCTACACTGCTTACTTTAGGGCTAGGCTAATTGGAGTTAGTGTTAAAAACGTTTTTTTTTTTTCAAATTTTTATCATCTACCTATATTGTAGTATTGAAAGCAGTTAATAAAGTCTATGTTTTTATTTCGCTCCATGTTTTAGCATAGAAATGAAATCCAATATCAATAAAATTTCAACATTTTCAATAAAACAAACCGCATATTTATGTATCTTATTTATCATTTTTTTTTATATTTTTGCAGCAAGTAGCAAAACTGAATTCAACCAACCCCAAGCCGACTAAACCTGACGCAATACCAGCAATTGAAAGCTCTAAGTAAGTAATTTATGTAATACATAATATTTCAGTTATTTGACAATATTTTACTATTAACAATGTTATATTTTGTCAACCAGGGAACCTTTGGCACTTCCTGCCCCTCCCGCTAAGAATACTCCAGCTTACCTCACTGGGTTTACTTCAGGATCTCGTAAGTTTTCCATTATATTCCATACTAATACTATAATGGGGTAAAGTTTTTTTGCAAGTAGTAGAGTCTGAAACTATTGAACATATTTCGAAAATTCTTCGCTTACTTATTCCTGCCCCCCCCCCCCCCTCCCTGTCTGAGGGGTTCTTTGCAAAACACTTCACTTTAATTTGTCCATATTTTAATCACGTTAATTTCGAAAATCCTACTAGACTTTTTCTTAAGTGACATGATACCTCTGTCACTTTAAGTCAAATTTTTTAGAATGGAAATAAAGGGGATCCTGGGAAAAGTGCATAAGCAGCTTTTTGTCTTAAACATTTCAAAGACGTGAAATATAATGCAAGATCGTATGGAAAATTTTATTACTTTGTTGCTTACACTGGCTCCGGCTATACTTTGTTCACGGAAACGAGTTAATGGAGCGCTTTCGCGCGTTTATCACTTAAGAAAGAGAATTATATACAATAAATACTTCCTTCACGATCAGAAGGTTAAGTAGACCGTAGGTATAATGTTTATTTACTTATAAATACTACTAACCTACACAGGCTGTAACAAAAATACCCGTTAAGCTTGAAATGACATCGACTACATGAAAAACTAAAATAACGATTGTTGTTCATTTTGTTGTAGACTATTTCTGGACACATCTATTGGCCTACCTTGTATTTTCAGTTTCGTTTGGTCCTAGCTAAAATTTTATATTAGGTCCAGCAAAAAGTTTTTATGCAGTTTTGAACCTGGCACATTCACAATTTCATTCAATAGTCTTTTTTTGAATTTTGAACACAGTTTAAAGAAACAATATCAATAAAGAAGTGGGCCGAAAACCTTGGTTTGCTGCATCGGATGGTTACCTACAAAGGAAATTCTACACTCAGATAAATAGACTTAGATTTGGTCATTGTAGATTTAAATCGCATTTCCACCGTATGCGGATAATAACTTCACCAGTATGCACTGAATGCACATCACAAGAAGATCAAACACTGGACCACATCTTCTTTTCTTGTCCAGCTTTCAACATTCAGCGACTAATTCTAATAGATCGACTTTTGACCAAATCACAGACCGCCTTCTCTACAGGACATCCTAGCAAGCCCAGAAAACTTTTTACTTATTTACGAATTTATAAACTCGACACTTGGAGAAATATAATAAAACAACCTCGGACTATACTACAATATATGATGATTATGACCACTCCCGGACAGAACAAAATATTTTATAATATACTGAAGATTTGGCTTATTGCCTCTAAACAAAAACAAAATAACAGATTTGGCCTGGCCTATATAATAATTTAAGACAACCAGAATTATAGACGTAAGACTTGGCAGTATGGCTTAGTACCTTCGCCTGTCCCAATGGACGAAAATAAACTACTACTTAAGGAAACAAAAGACAATTTGGAGCCTGTTTGTTCATATCAAACAATCAAATACTAAGAAAACTTGGTTTTATTGGTTTACTTGGATTTAATTCTTGAAACAGTGATTGATATCTTTGGTTTTGCAACAAACATTACTTATTCTTAACATTAAGGTGAGGTTCTATCAATAATCTATGGATACTTCACCTGAAGTCGCCGCCCAAGCTGTGGCACTTATTCAGGCCGGACACAGCCAAAGAAACGACAGTGCTCAACTTAATTTAAGTCGATCTGCGGTCCGAAATGTTTATCGGAGTTACCTAGAGACTGGCGGCTTTGTTCGTCGCCAAGGAAGGCCACGATCTCGGGTCACAACTGAAAGGCAGGATCGATTCATCGTGACGACCAGCTTGAGAAATCGTCACCTTACCTCCATTGAGATACAAAAACAAATTCGCGACTTCCACGGAGTATCTGTGAGCGTTCGAACTGTTCGGAGAAGGTTAAAAGAACGCGATATGGTACCACACAAGCCAGCTAATGGGCCCAAACTAACGCGAGCCCACCGAACAGCGCGCCTTCATTTCGCACGCAGTCATTTAAATTGGACACAGCAAGATTGGAGCCGTGTACTCTTTTCTGATGAGTCTAAAATTGTGTTACATGGCAATGATGGAAGGAAGAAGGTCTACCGACGTAAGGGAGACTATGTGGGCCCAAATTTTCTTTTTATGCATGATAATGCAAGAGTCCATGCAGACGGCATCGTCAGGGAATATCTTCGGGATGTGAACATCACAGTTATGGACTGGCCAGCCAGAAGCCCAGACATGAACCCCATTGAGCACATGTGGAACGAGCTAAAAAGACGTGTTAGGGCTCGTCAGCCAGTTGCCCAGACGATGCAGGAGTTGAAACTGCCATAGAAGAGGAATGGGAGATGATCCCTCAAAATTTCATAGAGCGGTTGATAAACTCTATGCCTAATCGTATGAGAGCTGTGGTAGATGCCCATGGAGGCAACACGCGTTATTAAATTAAACCTTTATTTGATAAAACATGTTTTTATTCAAAAATCAATTGCCTTTAACAAGGCGCATATCCGGCTTTTCGAAATAACACACTTTTAAGGTAAATTAATACTACTTTTTACTAGGTACTTACTAAAACTCGATTGAAATTGGTCTTCGTGTATGTGTGTACCAGAAGCATAGGTTACCTTTACCTAGTATAAACAAGGAGATCATCATTATCATCATCAACCCATGTTCGTCCACTGCTAGACATCATAGGTCTCCCCTAATGCACGCCACTGCTCCCGATTTTGTGCTACTCTCATCCAGCCCACTCCAGCCAGCCTACGAATATCATCATAAGAAGGAGATACATAGCAGATTTATTACTACTCCTGGGAAGGTGCATGACCTCGAACTAGCGATGTGTATTAAAAATATAAATTAGATGACCTCGAACTAGTGATGTGTATTAAAAATATAGAAAATTATCGATAATTTTAATAATCTTTAAAAATAAAAAAGTTAAAATCTCTTGCAAATATTTTTAAAAATATTAGAGGAGACTCTTTATATGATGTACTTCAACGCCCTTCAAGCCTAACGGGTATTTTTATTACACCTGTATATTTTGGACTATAATAAAATATTTGTCCACGAACCTAGATTTCCTTGAAATCTGTATTTAAATAAAATAGGGGAAACTACCCAATCATTGCCACTCTTCCTATTATTGGCACTTTTGAGTTTAGTTCGAAAAAACCAGGAAACAATAGATTATAGGAATAATGCTGCCAATTTACAAAATTTGGAAACCATACTAGGTTTTTCTTTTTCATATGTAACGACCCTGTTTTTTTCGAATTAAACTCAAAAGTGCCAATAATAGAACGAGTGCCAATGATTGGGTGGTTTCCCCTAATTTCATATTTTCACAGCTACATTAATTAGGTACATGTTTATATTATTGTTATTTTCAGCATTAAACTGTTTGATTTTGAAACCTTGAGAATTTTTTACTGAAATAACTTAAATTTTATTGTTTTTACATAACAGAGCTGTCATCAGTACCTCCAGCGCTTCCAGCACCCGGACCACAAGCTTATCCACCTGGAATTGACCCGCCCAAGATTGTGAGTTTCATCCTTTGGCATTTTCAGCACCTAAAACACTCCTTTGGCTATTCCATTGAACATACAACCTAAAAACAGTTATCTGTATTACTAAGTAGAACACATAATTATGAATGGAGTGGAGGGTTCATTACCTAAGACACTGGATCTATCCTAGTTCAGTACCCTTAGTAAGAGTTTTACAATTACGAAAACTATGATAGTTTTCGTGAGCTCGCTCTCGTACTAAGGGTACTGATTTTATTGTTTTCGTTTCAATACAAATAAACAGTGTTGAAATTCTACCATTAAATCATTTGTGTCTTCTTAAATTTTAAGTTTACTATTATATAGGGTGAAATTGATTGTATTAATGAAACTTCGTGAGATTGTTGGGTTACGTGAAAAGAGTATGCCTGATTTATTTCGGATTTTTTTGAAGTATTTTTTTTTCATGTTTTTATTTATAATTTGTGTATTTTTATGTCCTTTCCTCCTTTTGAGTAGTTATTCATTTTAAACAAACAAACTTACATATCCAGTGAAAAATAACTAATAAATAAGTACTTCTAAAAAATGGAAAAACATTAAAATTCCACGGCGGGTCAACGCCCGACCGCGTCCGCCAGCCGTTGACTGAGTAGGTACCTCTACACAGAGTTCAGTTGACTCCTTTGATTCCACACAATACAATAAAGTCGTCTTAGATGCCTTTATTGAAATAATAAGCACAAATGTCATCTTCTCTTAAGCAGAGAAAAACTTTAAAAGTTAATAATAATTTTGTCACGATTAGAAATAGGCAAATGTTAAACAAAAAGAAATACTTATTGCAGTTCAATACTTGGGTAAAATTTATAACCCGGTATTCAAAAGTACTTACGAGACCGATGTACCTATTCATTTTTTTCACTTAAACTTCCCGTATACACTTTGTAAACACAATCAATCACCAAACCTACTTTCGTAAAGCCTTGTGGCTCTGCTGAGTATTCCGTGACACTACAATAACAACACACCATATCCAACTTCTTATATTGAGGCCACAGAACAAGAACTAATCATGGCATTATTTGCAAATCTTCTCTTGTCACAAATTTAAGAGATAAGCACGCGCGGTGGATAAACTTGACACTGCGCTCGCTCACTGCGCTTTGCACCACGCATAGGTAGGTATTCAACCGATTCAACGGCGGAAGCGGTCAATGCTCCCGCCCGCTCTTCTTCTGTTTTTACGTTTTTTTAGTAGTGCTTAGTTGTTTTTTACTTACTCTGTATGCGTGTTTAAAAAGAATAATTATTTAGTACCCAAAAGGAGATTAAAATATAACAAAAAAAAACGAAATTTTATTGTAAATCATTTTTAAAAAATCCGAAAAAATTCAGAGATACTCTATATACGTAACCCAATAATCCCACGAAGTTTCATTGAAACATTCAATTTCACCCTGTATATTTGGTTACTTTTCACCAAAATGGGCATAGAAACATAATTTACAATTACGAAAACTATGATAGTTTTCGTGAGCTCAACTCGTACTAAGGGTACAGGTGTCAACCCACCATAGTCTGATTGATACTCACCTGTGTTTTTGGTACAAAATAGAATGTCTTTATATCATTGCTTTTATGTACACATCATTGTGTTAACACCTACCTACATTGTAAACATTGGGATTATGGTGAGAAATATAATAAAAGGTTTTTTTAATAATAAAGATAAATTATATTGTTGGTTTTCAGATATTGATGAAAATCTATAATAATAATAAAATAACATACCTATCTAAAAACCATAAAGACAATTTGTTTGTTAGGTTTCAGATAATAATATTGATAATCTTATATATAAAATTCTCATGTCACAATGTTAGTTACCGAAACGGCTTGACCGTTTTTTATGTAATTTTATATACATATTCAGTAAGTCTGAGAATCGGCTACTATTTATTTTTCATACCCCTAAGTGATAAGGGTTGTCTACCCCTAACATTTATTTTTTTGTTTATTATTTTATTTTTATAATGTGGCATTCAAAAACATGCCAGTTACATATCTCGGCAAACTTTAAGCAAGGACCATAGACAAAGAAGCGTGCGCAGTAGCAATTTTACATACAAAAACGTCTGCTGCGCAAGTTGATTTGTCTATGGCTTTGCTCAAAAGTTTGCCGCGGCCTGATACACATTACACACGACCAAATCGATGTCGATCAATGTTAATCAGCCATAAAACTTCAATTTTTTACTGAAAAAATTTTTTATATTTGTTGTAATATGTTATTAATAGACTGGATTCATTTAGTCTTTTGTTATACAGGATGTTGCTGCAATAGTGTCTCAAAAGATAGCGATGATTCGCAAGGAGCAAGAAGATAATGAAATTTCTAGTACACGTGGAGTAAGTATACCAAAATAGCATTCATATTTTATGCAAATAAAAGATCTCTCGAAATTGCTGGTGCCATTAAGAATTCTTAAAAATGTCTGTTAAAAATATATTTATGTAGTCTTTCAAATAATAAAGTTTGAATTCGTTTTATATATAACCGTCAATAAATCAGCCAACAATACAGTGCATATAATAAAATTATCTTAGAGTAAAACGGAAGTATAATTTACAATGAACTTGTGTCTCACAAAATCTAAATTTTTAAAGTTGATATGTTAAAATTCACAGGACTTATCACTCAAAAACTTAGTCAGTTGTATTTTATAAGCTGAGTCTCCAATGAATAAATCTGGTTGTCAATTTCGATGCGTTAAACTGTATCCAGGACGTTTCTGTAGTTTTGATTTTTGACACAATTATTGTTATTAAAACACAAAATTACAAATACATTTGTTTTATCATCATCAATCCAATAATGTTTCCACTGCTGGGGCACAGGCCTTTCCTATGGATGGAAGAGGGTGATTGAGCCAACACCCACCACGCGGGCTCAGTGCGGATTGGTCTGCTTACTTCTTTGCTTATCGTTGATGATTGTTATCTTAACCACTTGTAGCAAATTTGCTCAATCTCGATTCAACTTGACAATTTGACATTATTGTATTAACCAATTCTAGTTAAAGTTGATTCTTTTCATTCAGTTCTGTTTTTTCTAGTAAACTTTTCTTTAGGTTTAAACATCTAGCAGTTAAATGCTTAAAAATAAATAAAAACATAACTATAATTGCTATTTCTTCTTCCAAATGGTTAATACTTGGAAAAGTATTCATTTGACATTGTGGGTTACCTACAATGCGAAGAGATGGCGCTGCCTTGCAGCTTAAGGCTAGGAAAATTTCGACGCGGCCAATAGGGCCGTGGTAGCATAATGGTCAGTGCATTCGCCCGGATTGCGAAGGGTGCGGGTTCGAGTCCCGTCCGCTGCCTGGTCCGCGTGGATTTTTTTTCTAGTAAACTTTTCTTTAGATTTAAACATCTAGAGTTAAATGCTTAAAAATAAATAAAAACATAACTATAATTGCTATTTCTTCTTTCAAATGTTTAATACTTGAAAAAGTATTCATTTGACATTGTGGGTTACCTACAATGCGAAGAGATGGCGCTGCCTTGCAGCTTAAGGCTAGGAAATTTCGACGCGGCGAATAGGACCGTAGTAGCATAATGGTCAGTGCATTCGCCCGGATTGCGAAGGGTGCGGGTTCGAGTCCCGTCCGCTGCCTGGTCCGCGTGGATTTTTTTCTAGTAAACTTATCTTTAGGTTTAAACATCTAGCAGTTAAATGCTTAAAAATAAATAAAAACATGACATTTTGTAACCGTGTGGATCCTAACCCTTGAGTTTTATACGTAAACTTATAAAAAAAACATGCCTCGACTTACGTCGCGTATTTCGAGAACCTAACATGGCGTAAGTACGAGGACTGCCTGTAATTATAAATTTTGTTAACAGTTTGGTTGGAGTTCGTCTAGTACACTCGGGGAATTCACAGGATCTACGGGAGCGCAAATTCTAACCCCAAGAGAATTAGCAAGTGGTACCCAAGCGTGGGCAAAGAAGGTATGGACCGACCGTTATATCGTCATCTCTCTCTTTCTGAATCAAAATAAATACCAATAATTCGTAGGCACAGTTCTATAATCATCACAAAATGTATTGAGATTTATGTAAAAGTCGATTTGGTGCAAAAAAGGATTAAGTATAAATATTATTTACTCGCTACATAATTTTGATTATTTTAGACTGGTTTCTTTTCAGATTTATTATAAGAACGTGTTTTTTTCATATTCTTAAATGCTTCTCTTCTAATAAAGCCTTAGACCGGTTTCAAAATTTTATTGATCGATTTAAAAAAAAACTTATTTCTACTTACTTTTTGCGATGATTATAAACATTAAAATAAAAGAAAAGAAATATATGAAGTATCAACCGAAACCAACTATTAATGCTATAACGTATTTTGTCTCTAAAGGCGTTTGTAAAATGACATCCCCTAGACAATGCTTTGTTACTACGAAACATATAACATTTATTCAAAGAATATAGTATCCATTTGTCCACATAAATTACTTTATCCTCTTCTTGTGGTTTTAAATTTTATTCAAAATACGTATAGCAAAAGAATGTGGTTTCATTTGATACTTTAAGCCTTTCGAAATAACTTTTATTTCAGCTCAAAGCACCGTCGGTTGGGATTCGCGTGCACTGATGATGCAGTATCGACGCTTCGGTCAGAACTTATAATACGTACTGTATTATTCTTTCTGACCGTTTCTGAATATTAGCGGTGGTGACAACAATGTAGATGTTTTTATTTTTGGGTTTTTTTGAACTTTTAGATGATTTAAATCTTTTTTTTTAAACAGCTGATAAATGTTAGTTAGACATTCTATTTAATCTGTGGATGACAACACAGACTACATTAATACCTAATTGCTATTCTATTTTCATAGTATTGAATAAAATTAAATATTATGCTATTATATGGTAGAAAAAATAGCTGATTTAATGTTGCTATTCTCTTTTGATAGCGTTAAATAAATATTATGTGGTAGAAAAAACTAAGATAATAGTTATAACATATGCGATATTGTACGGTAATTCTGAAAGAAAAACGGTAGATTCAAGTCAATAACCAATAACTGTTAGCTAAGGGCTAACGGAAATAATTATTGCATCACATTAATTACGTAAATAGAATCATGAATATGAATAAGATTACAAAACGTTTTACGTTTAAAAAAACTTTGTTCTTGATAATACATATACAGATATGTAAATCATGAAAACATGAAACACGCAAAATATATAGGGAAGAATCAAAATCCCGTAAGCTTATCAATAAATGGATATAACATCATTTAAAATTTTATTATTTGCAATTTTTCTTATTATTGAAATTGCACTGTATGGGCTGAACATCAAGAATTGTATCTTCAGTACTCTATTAAAATACAAATAACAAATAAATAGATCATAACTCTGCTTTCTGCGCGGATCCAAGCCTTCTATAGTAAACATAAATGGATGAACTATATTCATTATTCTTTCTGCGTACAGCTGATACTGACGTAACTACAATGTCTCTCGCTAAATATAGATATTTGTTTTTGTCATTATCTACATACTAATTTTAGAAGCAGTGAACTCATTACTCTTTTGTTCCATAAGCTTTGAAACAATTCCATTAGAGTGTTTACAACAAAAAAAAACTAGTGTTCTCTAATGAAATATCCATATACGTTATAAATCTAAAGAAATTTGTTAGAAAAACATTTTGTCTTAGTAACTCCTAACTTTTAGCTGACCAGGCTACTCTTAGCAGTCAAATTATTGAGTAATAAAAACAGAAACATATTACACTTTTAATATTGTGGAGCTTTTTTCGCTCGTTTTTCTCCGCAGCTAAAAATTATGTCCAATAACGAGAGGTTGGGAAAAAAATTTGGACGATTCAAAACAGTTGTAATATACATCCAATTTAAATAAACATATATTGATTTTTGATTTCAAAGTAATAACTCATATACTATGTTGATGTCACCACCCCACACTGAAATACCGTGTAAAGAGAGAACTGGCGCAGTTCACTCCTTACACCGAAAAGTTTTGCGATCGATGGTACTATGATAATTGTTATGCCATCACAACTGGCGTAGCATTCATCATTACCGAGTTTTGCATACAAATATTCAGTTTTCCCCTTATTTATTGACTGACATTTTTTGTTTCACAATACTTTATTATATGTACTTTATGATTTATACCTACATCTTTTAAAATTTGTTCAATTTGGTTAGCAGAATTAGTAAAGAAAAGGATGTAATATAATATTCAAGCGTATTAACCAAATAAATTATCTTATTGAATTCTTATCCTACCTACCTCTGCCTATTAGCGAAATTTGTTCCTTATAGTTATAATAACATAATAGACATTCACACTCCAATTTAAAAAAAATAAGATATATAATTAACCACCTAATTATATCATATGATATTTTTTATTTAATGTTCTGTGATATGTATTTTATTTAATTATATTGACTAACAATCATTAAGTATTAAATAATTCGTATCACTGTTCATAAGTCAGTCTCTTCCGCAAATCATAGTAAAGCCTAGTGATTCTACAAGCATTTTTATTGCAAAAATTACACTAATTAACAAAGAAACGAGCGACGATGTGTAACATTTGAAACCTCACCTTATATTAGTAAAAAAAAGAAATAAAACCTACTACAAAAGGAATAAGCCATTTGAACATTATGTTCTAAAATCGAATGAAATAGCGCGCGCTTCCCAAACTTCCTGTGACACACTTCCGTCCCACTTCACATAATCACTCCCACAAATTGCACGAAAGCGAGAGGATAGATGTTACACATCAACAAACGGGTTAACATGGCAATAGAAAGAGCTTGTAGAATAACATGGCTTTATATGGGGAATCCGTGAATATTTGTTGCAGCTTTTAAGTGATAAGGAGATGCGCGCACTGAGTTACTACACGCTCGACCCATGATAGGGGCAATGCTTTGCGATCCTCTGAGGTAAGTATAACCGCAGGGATGGATTATGGTCGTCAATGGAACATGACTGAATTTTACCTATTTCATTTATGTCCGTCAATGGAATATGACAAAATTTACTTATTAACGATATAGTGTTTGGACCATCTTTTACAATTTAATTTGATATGTAGGTCGAAGAATCGTAGGATATAAAGAATTGATTAAGGTCATATCAGCCTCTTATAAATAATGTCGCTTCTACATAAATTAATATATACCTATACATAAATATGATAAGGTACAGCGACCTCACTTAAGTGTACTATTTTCCATCGAAACATAACAGTTGAAAAAGTAAAAACCTGCTTGTCCCTTTTACTGATTTCCCCAATTTTCATTCATACGACATAGTAGGTAGCGAATTATTTTAACTAGCAGCCAATTATTAATATTTTGTACTATAATTCTTCCTTTCAAAAACCTAACAGACTGTTTTCAATAAATTGACCAAAAATGGTGACTTACAATTAAAATCCTTATTCTCATCAGTATGTGCCAATATTCTTACATTTATATTCTACAACCTCACTAACTATTCTCAATATAATTGACCAAAGGTAACTCAAACCGCCTTATTCCAAAACGCAGACTAAAGTTAATGTTGGTTTCAAACCTAATGCTGTCTCTATCTCCTTTTTAGCAAACGAAAGAGACAGCATCAGTTTTAGACCAGGGGGCCTACTCTAATTCGACGAAAAACTAAATTTCGATCGAAACTTCGCACTTTTCTTACTATGTTTCTGGTTCGTTTTTAATTATAATATTCGTCGTCGGAATATAGATTGAGGTGTAGATTTTCCAAGCCTACTCAAAGAAAGCGTCAATTTCATAGTTTATCGTGCAAATTAAGTATAATCTTAAATTGACGATATTAAATCTTCGTTATCGAAAGTTCGTTTCGGAGAAAGAGAGTAGACCTCCAGGTTTAACTTTCAATGTTTTGTAATAAGGCAGGTTAAAAATGATATTTCTCATCCTAACAAATATATTGAAATATAGGATCAGCTGGTGAAAGCGGCGCCCGTAGAAGGGGGTATGGGAATGCATCTACTGCAAAAAATGGGCTGGACTCCCGGCCAGGGGCTAGGCAAAGAGGGCACGGGAACCTTGCAGCCGTTACTGCTGGAGGTGAAGCTGGACACCCGCGGCCTACAGGCCAAAGAAGAGGTCAGTAGCCGTATCAACAAAGGCGTAAGTGAACATTTCCTATTTAACATTTTAGCGTTGTTACATCATCATCAGCCTATTAATGTCCCCACTGCTGGGGCACAGGCCTTCCCTATGGATGGAATAGGGAGATTGGGCCATTACCGACCACGCGGGCCCAGTGCGTATTGGCGGGTGCTATTGCAGATGCAGCCGGGACCAACGGCTTAACGTGCTTCCGAAGCACGGAGGAACTCCATCCATTTAGGGCGAAAAATTTGCAAGCCAAAGTGCTTCATTTCCTGGACTATCTGGTCGCTTTCTGCTTAACACCGCTTATTTATGCCGGCACTTCATTTAGCTAATTCGTATTTTTGAACTTGACAGCAGTCTTTAATTGTCGTACTTTATTAGAAATGATAAAGTCAGAATGATGTCGAGTTTACAAATAGCAAACATGGATAGCTAAAAGGAAGTGCCAGAGATAGTAATTTTTAAGGCGGACTGTTTTCTAGTTAGCTTACATTTGTATCATACCAGGAACTATAATAAATCATTAAATTTTAATTTAGAATTTAAAATCTAAAGATATTTTCTGTAAGTGGTGTCTAAATTTGATAAACGGCCAGTTTCAATAGGAATAATCTGGTTCCGTCTTCCGTTACGTAGCTACCGTTGTTATTAAGTCTTATAATAAAAATATCTTGGAAACAAAGCTCTTGTAGCTTACTTACCTCTTACTAGAGTTTGATTATTGAAACCAGCCGTAAGATTTCATTAGTTGACATGTACTTTTTTATTTTGATTCCATCCAGAGTCGATGTAATTTATAATTAGGAAATACCTTTTAGAAGTTGAAATCAAAGTATTTGTAAAATAAATATCTATACTGAGTCTGCAAGATGGCTAAAGCAACACAAACCTATTCTGTTGTTGATTGGTGTAAATAAAAATATATTTGTACCTAATTGGTACTATAATTTTGCCAATCATGGCTAATGATTTCATTATCGTATTTATCTTTTTATGTCATAATAAGTCACATAGTAGTAGTCATACTTTATATATTATGTCATCTGTGTGTATATAACAGAACTTTTCTTAAACGCCTGGACATGATTAATTTAAAATGAAATTTTATGTGTGCAGTCATGGCTGTCATGGCTACATTATAACTAGACCCGGTAGGTGGCGCTGCCATCGGAATCGAGGCTTTTTTTATTTTATCGTGCAGGACGCCCCTTAGTTCTCCTAGGTTAGTATACTCATAAACTTAATTTTATCTCAAATCCCATATTGACAGATAAAAAATCAACGACAAAGCAGAAATCGCGGCCCCGCCCCTCTAGTCGCTGGCGGCAAACATCCCGTCTCGTTGCTCGGAGAGTACTGCTCAAAGCAGAAGCTAGGTCCGCCCGAGTACAATTTATGCTTCGAGTGTGGCCCTGATCATAAGAAAAACTTTTTATTCAAGGTAATGTGTTTAAATTAAAACCACATATTTGGCTTAATAAACAAACTACTGGTATCGATTCTGACACGATTCTCTAAACTTAAAACTAAATTTAACATCAGTCTCTCCTTTTCATTCTGTATGGAGAATGACAAAGATACACTGTTGTCAAATTTACGTTTAGGTTTAGAGAATCATGCCAGAATCGACACCATTATCAGTAATGGTGATATTAAAATATTCTACATACAAATTAAACTTCAGAATAGCAATGACTTTTCTAACAGAATCTGTTCTTAAGCAAATAAGGTTATTAGTATTTTGTTTGAATTTAATGTTGACTCTTAATTTAAGTTTTCTTATAGTGGATAATTCACCAATGTAGCCTGTACACAGTGGAAAAAAAAAGTATTTTCATAAATAACCTTTAAGAATAATTAATTGATATTAGTATGTTCAAAATTCAATTTAAAAGCACAAATAGTAAGTTTTCATTAAAGATTATTATTTTGTTGCTTTGTTTCCAGGTCAAAGTTGCTGGAGTCGAATATCAACCGGCAGTAGCTAGTGCTAATAAGAAACAAGCAAAGGCTGATGCAGCACAGTTAGCACTACAAAAACTTGGCATTGTTACATGAAAGAACAGAAAAAGTATTTATGTATTTTGCATAAACAAATACTCGTTGGTTTATTGAATAAAAATGAAAAAAATACACTTTTTTTTCTTGTCTTTCCCAAGGAACTTATATTCTATCTGGAATGCTTACGAAACAATATGAGAATTCAAAAAATGTACTCTTAAGTTGTATTTAAATAAAGTCCATTTTTGTTTATAACTTCATAAGAGGGAAAAATACTCTCGAGCAGGACAACGACGAAAGTGGAATCTGTCCCTCTTTTGTAAGTGTCAGTGTTAATAAAAATAATAAAATGGTATCCACATTATCCCAAAAATCCCCTTTATTCTCATTTGTTCGATTCATTAGTTCGATCGTCGAACTAGTGAGATTTTTTTTTCTCATTAGTTCGATCGTCGAACTACTGAGATTTTATTGTTCTCATTTGTTCGACCGTTCGTTCGAACTTATTTTCTTTATTCATCCATTTTCATTACCAGAACCTCTTAGTTATGTATGGTTTCCTGGTACTTTTTTTTCTAAATAGTGATTTTTACAAATGTTTATGGATGCAATATTGACGACGGTCGAACAAATAAGAACAATAAAATCTCAGTAGTTCGACGATAGAACTAATGAGAAAAAAAAATCTCACTAGTTCGACGATCGAACTAATGAGAAAAAAATATCTCACTAGTTCGACGATCGAACTAATGAATCGAACAAATGAGAATAAAGGAAAAATCCGATAAGAACAAAAACGTAGTTTAAGAGTTAAATTAGCATTTATGCATGATTGCAGTTAGCATAATGATATCAATGCAACCAAAAATGTGTTTATTTTTATTTAACTAAAAAAAATGTTTAAAATGGTAGTCATTGGCAGTAACTTGCATTTATGCATGAGAACACTTGTGATGCTTCCAATAAACAATCTGGCGATATTCTACCGGATTGAAGCCCTATTTATGCTAACTACAAATTATTTTGATCAAGTTCTTGTGATTTGCTGTTGCAAAATGATCTTTTTTTTTTGCAAAATGATGTAAAAGTAAGGCGTATAAGGTTGTGGAATTTCATTAATAGGTAAGTTTTTGACTTCTGTTTACAAATTACATGTCTAGGGTGAAAAAACATTGTCGATTTTCCTATGGAAAGTACATGTCATCATCATCTTAAGCATGATAATGTCTCCTCTCGTGGGGCCTTTCCTATTGACAGAATAAGGATATTGGGCCAAGATCCACCATGCGGGCCCAGGGTGGATTGGTGGGTGCTAACGATTGCAGTTTCAGCTGGGACCAACGGCTTAACGTGCCTTCCGAATCACGGAGGAACTAGAGTAAGTATAATTTTGGTCACCCATTTAATAACCCACCACTACGAAAGTTGCTTAACTTCAACAATCGCAGCCGAACGCGCTAACCAGTTGCGCCATCGAGCTCTTCCAAATTTAAATGTACTTTGATTAAGCAAAAAGGGAAGATACAATATAAGTACACACATCAAAAGTGTCTAGGGATCAACATATATTTTTGCAATAACTTTTCTCCTGATTGATATTAATTAAAATTTTCTTTAAGGATTCATCAAATAAAGTGTTTTCGTTTGTCACAGTAACGATAAACCAAGTCACCTTTGCATTAATAAAGAAATTTGCCATTTTCCTAATAAAGGGATTTTTGACATTTGAACCACTAACACAAAAGTTCGAAAAAAAGACTGAAATAACAGTTTTCTCTAAAATTTTATTGGGTAACTTAAACAATTAATAATCCGTATTTCTACCGCGAACACTAACAACACAAGAACATCGGTTTGGCATACTCAAAATGAGTTCATCCAAATCACGCTGTGGAATGGCCGCCCATGTTCGTTGCAACAACAAAAAAAGGTCTTCTTGCGACTGGATACCCTCCATATTCGGCAGAGCTCTTCTCTGTAGCATATCCCATGCATGCTCAATCGGGTTCAAGTCTGGCGACTGAGCAGGCCAGGGCAGGACATTGATGTTAGCTGCGGCGAGAGTCTGTCTTACAACTCTTGCGGTGTGCGGTCGTGCATTATCATGCATTAACTGAAATAAGGGACCGATTTGCACTTGTAGAGGAACGATGACGTCTGATACAATCGTCTCAGCATAAATTTGAGCGTTGAGGTTGCCTCTGATCCAAATCAACTCAGTTCTTCCGCCGATCCAAATACCCGCCCATACCATGATGGTTCCACCACTATAAAGATGGACTTCCTGGCAGGATTTTAATCGCTGTTGGCGTCCAGGGGTTCTCCAGTGTCGTATACGTCTTGTATCCGGTCTCATACCAAAACGAGACTCATCAGAAAAGCACACGAAACGCCATTGTTCTTCTGCCCAATTTCTGTGTTCAAGAGCCCATTGATATCGAATCCTACGATTGTGCATTGCTATAGGTGGTACCCGTAGCGGTCTTCGGGAATGAAGGTTCACTTCATGCAAGCGGTTTCTGACTGTTTGGTCGCTAATTAAGTTCCCTGAAGAGTGATGAAGCCTCACGGCTAACATCATGGCGGTTATTGTTGGAGCTCTTCGAGTTAAGATTTGAATGTATCGGTCTTGTCTCCGTGTGGTGCAGCGATACCGTCCTCCATGGCGCTCAGCCACGGTACCAGTGCTTCGGTATCGTGTCCAAAGTCGACTGATAACACTCTGACTTGTATTCAGAGCTAAAGCCACAGTACGTTGCCGGGAACCAGCTTCTATCATTCCCACGGCTCTGAGCATTTCTTCCCTGCTTAAATGACGTCGCCGCTCCATAATAACGTTGGTTTTAATCAGTAGTAGGGAAACAGTAGCACTAATAATGTCTTCAATGCGTTGTATGTTTTTATAGGGAAAATATTGACAGCTGATTTTCATCTTTTACTCGAATTTGATTCACAGTTCCTGATTCAAATTATGAAATGCACCAAAAAGGATCCATATAAATTTATAAAATCATAAATTTATTACAAAGCCACATCTCAATCTCAAGAAATCCGCATAAAAATGCTTGATCCCTAGACACTTTTGATGTGTGTATCTAAAGTATACATAAGAATGATTATAAAACGTACCGTTTGACAAATTAAAACTAAAATTTGGTGAGCGTCAGAATGGCCGGTCACTACCCATATTTTACATCGAAATAATTATAGAAAGTTGCTACCTAGTTGCTTCTAGTTGCTACTAATCGTTAAATAGTTGCTACCCCCGATTAAAACAAGCTTTTAAGCTTTTTAGGGTGACCAGCCATTCTGACGTCAGAATGGCCAGTGAGAACAAACTGCGTCACTAAATGGAGATTTTTTTAAAGCAATAGTTGCTACTAGGTTGCTACCTTTATATATATCGTTTTGAACCTCCCAGCTTTTAAGGATAAAGAGTTATAATCAATTGAGTGTTCAGACATTATTAAAACTGAACGCCTGTAGAATTATACGAGCAAATTCGACATCAAGTGCATAATGGGTATTGCATAAGCAGGCGCTGCGTAATAGAATTTATTTTAAAAGTTGTCTACTATACATTATGTAATGTATGTTTTTAATTGTAATAATATAATGAATAATATTATTTACCGTGCGAAACAAGACAAAATAATGTTAATTTCTGTATTGAGTTATTTTTGTTTATTTGTAATAAATATTTCTGATGAGGGTAGGTAAATTTTTACTTTATTATGCAGAACAGTCTTACTTTTATTTCTGGTACAATTATCGCATTCAATGTTTGTATTGTTTTATTATAGTAAATTAATACCAATTGTTGAGGAGCTCGATGGCGCATTTGGCTGCGATTGTTGAAGTTAAACAACATTCGCAATGGTCGATTATTGGATGGGTGACCGAAAATCTTCTATCTCGAGTTCCTCCGTGCTTCGAAAGGCACGTTAAGCTATTAGTCCCGGCTGCATCTGCAGTCGTTAGCACCCGCCAATCCGCACTGGGCCTGTGTGGTGGGTCATGACCCAATCTCCCTATGCTATCCATAGGGAAGGCCTGTGCTCCAGCAGTGGGAACATTAATAGGCTGATGATGATGATGATGATGAATACCAATTGTGCGGGACGCCGGGCTGTCGTAGTAGCGAGAAGTTACCGACCCGCACTTATTAGGTGGAGGGTCGAACGGAGGTGTCTTGACGATGGAAGTGGACTGTAGCTGGCGAAATAAAACCACTCAAGATTCGTTGTCGAAGAAAGTCGGTGTGCGCTGGTAATGGATGGCCGGTAAGAAGTCTTCAAGATCCAGGGAGAACCGCTAATTATTCCTTCTTCTTATTAGTAGGAGCGCCGGTCGCTGAATGACATAAACAAATCTTAGTACCAAACAAATCGCACCAGTAAAGTTAGTTTTAAACAATAATCACTATGAATTGATTTCAATTATTGAATTTGTTCCACCTGGATTTGGTGAAATGGGCCATTACAAGGCACATCGCAAACGTGAGAATATATGGCAGTGTTACAACGATCTGAATAATAGGATTACAAAAAGTAATAAGAAAGTAATGTGCAGTGTAATATATTTAAAGAGAAAAAACACAACTTCTTTTTATTAAATTATTATTGTTAGTCATTATTTGTTTTATTTACTGCAATAATGACTTTAAATAAGTTTGGGTATTGCATAAGCAGGAAGTGGCGCCTGTTCAAGCAATACCCATTAAGTGCGGGTCGGTAACTTCTCGCTACTACGACAGCCCGGCGTGCCACACAATTGGTATTCATCATCAACATCAGCCTATTAATGTCCCCATTGCTGGGGCACAGGTCTTCCCTATGGATGGCATAGGGAGATTGGGCCATGACCCACCACACGGGCCCAGTGCGGATTGGCGGGTGCTAACAACTACAGATGCAGCCGGGACCAATAGCTTAACGTGTCTTTCGAAGCACGGAGGAACTCGAGCTAGAAGATTTTCGGTCACCCATCCAATGATCGACCATTGCGAATGTTGCTTAATTTCAACAATCGCAGCCAAATGCGCTATAGCCATCGAGCTCCTCAGCAATTGGTATTAACTTACTATAATAAAACAATACAACGCTTTGAATGCGATAATTGTACCAGAAATAACAGTAGACTGTTCTGCATAATAAAGTAAAAATTTTGCTACCTTCATCAGAAATATTTTTTAGAAACAAACAAAAATAACTCAATACAGAAATTAAAATTAGTTTGTCTTGTTTCGCACGGTATAATAATATTATTCATTATATTATTACAACTAAAAACATACATTACATAATGTATAGTAGACAACTTTTAAAATAAATTCTATTACGCAGCGCCTGCTTATGCAATACCCATTATGCACTTGATTTCGAATTTGCTCGTATAATTCTACAGGCGTTCAGTTTTAATAATGTCTGAACGCTCAATTGATTATAACTCTTTATCCTTAAAAGCTAGGAGGTCCTAAACGATATATATTAAGGTAGCAACCTAGTAGCAACTATTGCTTTAAAAAAATCTCTATTTAGCTACGCAGTTTCTTCTCACTGGATAGGTGACCAGCCATTCTGACGTCAGAATGGCTGGTCACCCTAAAAAGTAGTTTATTTTGTTTTAATCGGGGGTAGCAACTATTTAACGATTAGTAGCAACTAGAAGCAACTAGGTAGCAACTTTCTATAATTATTTCGATGTAAAATATGGGTAGTGACCGGCCATTCTGACGCTCACAAAATTTGAGAACAGTAAATTGTGTTCAATGTTGGATAAAAAACAGATACAATACATATAGTGACATTTAATAAGCTCGAAAGGTTGTTTAAATATTTTAATATTTTTAGGACTTTCAAGCTAAGGATATACAATTGAAAATAAGAAGGTTACTTCACCCAGAGAAAAATAATTATCTCATCACTTATGTTACTGTTTGGACACACTACTAGAAAGAGACAGCTTCCACTAATTGCGGTTTACTCTTTGGAATGCTTTTGAGGGTAATGTAAGCATTCCAGATAGTATATAAGTTCCTTGGTCTTTCCTTCTATTCCTATATGAAACTGAAATCAAATAACATAAATACCCACACAGTCATTAATATTTTAAGAATAGAAAATAAATCAAATAAACTAATAAAGGGAGCCTTCACATGAGTGAATCACTAGAAAAGAAATGATTTAAAATATGTAGGTTTAATAAATTTATTATAACACCAATTTCATAAATTGATAATGACACCTTAGTAAGAAAACCTTGAACTCAAGTTTTTTTAATGAATAATTATATAGAATGTGAAACCAAATAAGTTAACTCAGAAATATACCGTAACATAAATAATAAGATTTTTTGGAGGCAGGGGAAAATGTTAGACAATTTAAGATCAATTTCAATAAAGTGTAATTTCATTTCCTATGATATTAAATATGTAACTATTTGAAAATCAACAAATTGAGAAAAGGATTTACTCGCTAAAGTGAACCAAAACAACTACATCTAATCCATAGAGAGGATAATTTGCCTGTTTTAGGCTCTAGGACTAGGTGCTCTATTATGAATGCAACTACATATTAAGCTTTTATTCTTTATCTTCATTCCATTTTATAACAATCACAGATCCGTTTCTTTGACACCCACCCCACTTATTCTTTCTTTTCTGGATTTTGTTGTTTGATTCGATAGTCCGACAATGCAGCTTTAATAGCATCTTCTGCTAACACTAAAATAAAAACACTTCATTAGTTTTCATAAGAAAAACATATGATTCATTTTTAAAATTAAATTTTGATAAGTAATTGAATTCAGGATGCAGTTTACATTCCACTTACTAGAGCAATGTAGTTTTACAGGTGGTAATGATAATTCTTTAGCAATATCAGTGTTCTTTAATTTGAGCGCTTCATCAACTGTCTTTCCCTTTACCCATTCAGTGGCCAATGAACTGGATGCAATTGCAGAGCCACATCCAAATGTTTTGAATTTTGCATCAATAATCTTGCCACTTTCGTCCACCTTGATCTGTAATTTCATCACATCGCCGCACGCTGGTGCTCCAACTAATCCAGTTCCAACATTTTTATCCTTCTTATCTAAAGATCCTACATTCCGAGGGTTTTCATAGTGCTCAATTACCTAAAAGGAATTAAACGAAGATATTAATTCCAGCCAGTAAGTAAAACACTAAAGACAAATTATTGTATTCAAGTTCCATAGAAACACCACATCAGTCTCTGGGTACAATATTATTTTTAACTTACGTTTGCATGATACGACGCAGTTGGGGTTGATTTTACACCACCAAAATTTTTAAGACAAATACATCTACGCATGTTTGAAATTATAGTCGACATTATGAGCTCTTACAGAGTCAATAAACAATTTTCTTTATAGTAAATTTAAGTTTTAAACTTTTAATTTGTAGAAAGTTATTCAGACAGTACGTAGAAATAATTCTTTCACAAACATGAATGAATGAAACAGACGACACGAAAGTTCAGCACAAAACGAACTTGATTGACAATTTGACAGCAAAGCAGTATTGCCAACTATATCACGGGTGAGTACTAAAGTGGCATCTCATTATAAAGAATTTCAAAAAATTGTGCTTTGTGAAATTAAATATCTTGTAATCTAACGGACTCAAATCTGGACTGGAGGAGGTCCAGTCTTCGTGCCGGATGAAGTCGATTTCACGCGCCGCCAGCCAGTTTTGTGTGCTCTTCGCTCTATGAGCTGGCGCCGAATCTTGTTGGAATACCCAGTGCCCGTTATTGAACATGGTATGAGAAACAGGTTCCACAAGGTTCGTCAGGACTGTATTTTGATACACAACTGCATTCGTTTTTACACCTTTCTCACAAAAATGTACCTCTGTTAAGCCCAATAAGAAACTCCCAACCATACCATGAGCGAGGATGGAAAAGGACCTCGTTGGACACGCGGAATACGGTTGCTCGCTTCTTCACTACTGTGTGCCTACACCTTATCATTTTGTTTGTTGTAGCTCTCTTCTACGGTAAAATTCTTTTCATCCGAAAAATGAATTTCCCGATATTTTTTTCCCGCGTACCGCTTCAACAAAGCGCGGCATCTCTTCAGTCTCAGGTCCATTAGACGAGCATTCAAAGGATGTCCTGTTTTTCTTCGATATGCCCGAAGCCCTAAGTCTTCATTTAACACCCTTTTCACCATGGTTCTGCTTAACCCCATCTGAAGGGCCAACAGTTTCTGCTTACGTTTGGGATTTCTTTGAATTCGCGCCTTCACAGCTTTTATCACGGCTGGAGTCCGAACAGACCGAGGACGACCATCTCATCTACACTAGAGTCATCATTGTATCGTTTGATGGTACGATAAACGAATCTTTTGGTTATATTCAAAATTTTCAGTATGTCAAAAATTTTAATTAGCGCGTTACAGCAACGATGCAACTGCAACACGGTCTTCTTTAAGCGTCCACTCCATATTTAAAAATGAGTAAAATTCTAAAATGTATTCATTATTATTTTCAAGAACAATTCGAAATTCGAATTCAATAAACTTTTTTGTGGCCAGCATTCTAAAAGAAAAGTTTTTACTATGTGACAATAATTATGACCTGACTGTGTGTTAGTACTTTAGATGGAGTCTATAAAAACCATGTAAGTTTTACGTAACATACAAAAAAATGTAGAGTGAAGCATTAGCGACCATGAATGATGATCTTTGCCGCATCAGAACTTGGGCAAAGTCTTACGGTCTCCTTGTGAACCTCAGTAAATCGCAGGCCATAATCATAGGGAGTAGGTACATGTGTAACGCTGCAAATGTTCTTCAACTGCCATCATTGTTATTTGATGGAATCGACATTCCATACAGTTACAATATTATAAACCTTGGTGTCACAATTGACTCCAACTTGTCCTGGACGGCCCATGTCGCTTACTGATTAAATAAATAATAAAATATTCTTTAGTGTTTCAGAAAACTTTCAATTCAGTTTATTTCGACAGAATGACAAAGTCATAGAAAATTACAAAACAAATAAAAATCAAAGACAAATTTCAAACTGCCTATACAACCTACTAACACTTTCGCCAGCCAGAACATTTCCTACACGATCCATTCCCTTAAATGTCTCCAATATTTTTTGCCAGTGTATTCCAAAATTTCACTCGCTCAGTCGATCATTTTACCGCTACTCAATAATGCCGATGCTTTTTAGATGCCGCAGAGACCTTACTGAACAAACTTGAGCGCCTGCAGAACCTCGTTATCCGCTTCATCTTTGGTCTACGCAAGTATGATCATGTTTCTAGATTTCGTAAGGAACTCAAGTGGCTTCCTATTCGTCTGCGTAAGAATGTTAGAATCCTGTGTCTCCTTTTCAATATCCTCTATAATTTTAGTATCCACCTTGACTTCGTGAACGGTTTTCCTTCATTCACTCTTCAACAGATCCTTGCAGATCCCACCTCAAATCCCTTCTAAAATGTCCCACCCATAACACTGGCTTCGCATCCTATTCTTTCTCAGTGCATGCCGCATACATTCGCTACCAGCAGAAATTAGAGACTCTAGTTCTATCTCAGTGTTCAAAAAACATCTAAAGGAACACTATTTATAATAATAATAGTATTCTTTATTGACATACACCTCACAGGACATACAAGACATTAAACATGACAGTGAAAACGTACACAATAGGCGGCCTTATTTCTACGCAGTAATCTCTTCCAGGCAACCCATGACAGTGAAATAAATAAATAAGAAGAACAAGAAGGGGGTGTAACAGGTATGGTAAAATAAATAATAAATGCAATAGATATATCCATATCAAAGAACTTTCCGGCGTAATCGAGCACCAATGCTACCGTAAATTCTGCGATTAATTACAAAACTCCAAGCAGGCATTCGTAAGTAGGTACTCTAGATCAAGTTTTTGATCTGTTTCTTTTTTTTCATTAATGTAAGCTTTTAGAAAGCGTTACCACAATACTCTCTCCTGACATTATTAAACATGTATAATAATGTCAGGAGATAATTTTATGACTTTTGTTAGAATTCAAGATCGAATATCTTGGTTTTGATATTAGTTATAGAACTACTACTTTGCTAAGAACAATTCACATATATAGTACTATCAAACAATCATAAGTATTTCAGTGGCCGCTGTAAAAAAAAAGCCAACCTCCATACAAAATTACCCACTCCCCTTTTCACTATTAGTTAAATAAATGTTCATGGAAGGTTTTAATTATATAAAGAAATTTATTGAGTATAATACAAGCCTGAGAACAAAAACTATAGTCTTCCTACTCTACAACTCTACATCGAAGCGAAGCGAGGGCGGGCCACTAGTTCACTATTTAATCTTTCTTATTATTTCCCACCTTTAATAAGTGACCGAACAACAGGCCGATCTTAAGTGGCTTGTGTGTCTAGCTAGCTTTTGGCCCGGCATTCGAAAGTCTAGCATTTCAATTTTTTTATACTTAATTTACAGTTTTATTTTTCAGCATTAATCCGCTCTACTTATAAATCTATAGGAAACTAGATTTATGAGAGAAAGGTAGATATGGCAACACGGTGTTGTTTTTAAAAAAAAGTACTCTGTGAACTGTAAAAAACTTATTGAACATCATCATGACATTCGGTCTCCGGGTTTTCTCTAAGTTAGCCGTGCCCGCTGTTGGCAACATATTGAATTTTACTCGAGTACAAATAAGTACCATGTAAGTGCATAATCTCTGTGCTAACAAAAGCTTTTCTATGTTTATGCAACTGGTTGGTATTCCTTGTTACCGGTCTGTCAGTTTGGCAATATTCAGGGTCAAAGTGTCAAGCAAGTGACAAAAGAGGAGTTGTCAAAATAATTTTAATCAATCCTTATTTTACCAATACTTTTTACATTTTATTTTTAAACTATTAATCCTACAATAAATATTGGCATTATTATTTTACAGCAAAATGACGGCAAATAATCCGGACTACAAACTCGTTAATTCTATTCACGAATTTACAGTCAAAAATATCAAAGGTGAAGATGTAAAGCTTGATGTATACAAAGGTCATGTTTGCATTATTGTTAATGTCGCTTCGCAGTGTGGGTTGACTGCAAATAATTACAAACAACTTAATGAATTATATGAGCAGTATGGCGAAAGTAAAGGTAAAGCTACAAAATGTACATAAAATTATAACAAATTTTTACAAAGAATTTTTTAACCAATAGTTTGTTACAGGTTTACGGATCCTAGCATTCCCATGCAACCAGTTTGCTGGCCAGGAACCGGGAAATCCTGAGGACATTGTTTGTTTTGCTGCAGACAGAAAGGTTAAATTTGACTTGTTTGAAAAGGTTGATGTGAATGGTGACTCTGCCAGTCCATTGTGGAAATTTTTGAAGGTGAGATATATTTTCCAACTTTAATCAGCTTCTGATAAAAGTAGTTCTTATCTATACCATCTAATGTATTGATTATTGGATTGAATAGTTCATGCTACTCATAAAATATTAATTTATTGATTTATTAAAGAAGGTCATGTGAGCACTTATTTTTATTGACATCTATAGTAAAGTTGTGCTTAGTTTACGTTCAGTTCTAATTGTAAAATCGATTGTTCACACTGCCATTGATTATTGCATTAAATGTCAAATGAAAATTAGTTAATTCTTTAAAAAAAACATTAACATAATAATTTTCATAATAAGTAAATAAAATATTAATTTATTAAAGAAGGTCATGTGAGCACTTATTTTTATTGACATCTATAGTAAAGTTGTGCTTAGTTTACCTTCAGTTCTAATTGTAAAATCGATTGTTCACAGTGCCATTGATTATTGCATTGAATGTCAAATGAAAATTTGTTCATTCTTAAAAAAAATCATTAACTTAAAAATTTTCATAATTAGTAAATAAGTTATTAAAATTGATCGAAAATCATCAGTTGTTAGCAGTACACTTTTATTCCTAATAATTAACCTGTTAACATAGATGACTACAAACATGACAATTATTTTTAGCACAAACAAGGAGGCACATTGGGCAGTTTCATTAAATGGAATTTCACAAAATTCATTATTGACAAAGATGGAGTCCCTGTAGAAAGGCATGGCCCTAATACTGATCCGTTGGATTTGGTTAAGTCCCTTGAGAAATATTGGTGAATACAAATATACGGGATACTAATATAATTTCTATATTTTATTAGTGTAGTGCTTAGCTTTGATATATTTTTCGATACTTTGTTATTTGTTTGTTATATTATGATAAGTGATCAATCACACACTGTATCATGTTGTCGGTTGCTAATGAAAATGTTAAATCACATTAAGTTTTTAGTGATATCTGGGATTATTGCATTTTTAGATTTAAGTATGTCAGTACCTGTGTAAAACTAGTTGAATAATAGAATGGCACATATTTTGAAATATGCTTCAAATAAAATATTTATACATGTATGTTGATAAATGATTTCATTCTAATACCCCTTCCACACGACACATATTGATTGCCAATCTGCGCGCATATCATTGAGTAGGATATAAATTTAATTAAATGATTTTTATTTTCAATAACAAATAACTGCCTGGTCCGCGTGGAATTTTTCTAGTTATATTTTCTTTAGATTTAAACATCAAGCAGTTACATGCTTTAAAAATAATAAAAATTATAACAGTAATATTTTTATCAATATTTTTCCAATTATTCCGCAAAATCTGGAATTAGGTATGCCTTGCTTGTTTATTTTTATATAATGGGTTAGACACATCCCAAAGGCATGGCAAGTCTTTACATATATCTAAAATCTCCTCCATTACTTCCCGTTCAGATCGAATAGACATAATATTGTCGTCATGTTGCTCCATCTTCTTCTCAAAAGACAAGTCAACGCACACACCCGCTCTGAATGCCACTTGCCTTGCACAGTGACTACGTTAAAAAATTGGTCAGTTAGCGTCCACACCGTCCAATTTGATTGGGCAATCCCGAATCGGGCGATACCGACTATCCAATGACCTTCAACTTCATATTTCCGTCCACACAACACAATTCGATTGTCAATCTAATCAAATTGGACGTAAAATTGTATCGTGTGGATGCCACTTACAGTATCCTGATCTTTAACATGAAATAAAGACATTATAACCATTTCTAGTGTTCAGCTGTGCTAATTTTATGCTACAATGTTTTTTTCCTATTATAATATGGGACAAAAAAAGGGGACAACAGCAGTTGACTGATTAACAAATATTAATTTAAACTACAACAACAGTTTGTGTGGCCAATTTTAGAGATAGCTTTCCTGAATATTTTGCAACTTAAAAATATAGAGGTATATTTTATTTTTAAGAATAAAGACTGAGTTTTTTGACACAGTAATTTTTTTCTATGGTAATGTTATTGTACTTAATTACAAGCTTATAGGAAATAGATGTATAATCCGGTCAAGTTAGGCAGAAAAATAATACTAAAGGTACATAAATTTACATCAAGCTGGAAATGAGTAAAATTGTCCAAAACAGTTTTAAAAAACCTTGTAAAATTCCCCATCTTGTAAAGTTCCGGTACTTGGAAAAACACTGACTTGCGGTCAAAAGTCCAAATCAAGGGGGTTTTACGTAGGGTTACCATATCTCAGGATTTGTCCTGAGATTTCAGGATTTTTGGAGTCTTTTCAGGATTGCGGCTGGATTTTGCAAATTTCTTGAAATCTCAGGATTTTTTGAATTTTTTAATAAAAATACAGCTAACGTTTTAAAGATCTGTTTGATAAAAAAATAAACAAACTAAAAATAATCTTCCTTTGATAATAATTGCACAGTTAAAATCAGTACTTATTTATCCAAGTAGGTACTTGATCAGTTTTATCATACTTAATATGTGATGGTACATTTTTTAATAAGGTTTTTTCTTTAATTATGGATTTATAATATGCCCCATATGTTAAACTCTTCAAATTATATTGAATTAAAAATATAAGCAGCATGTACATAAACGATAATATTACGACTTTTCTAAATTGTTAAGTACGTTTGAGAGTAAATTCTCAGACCAAATTTGGTCTGAGAGTAAATTCTCAAACTAAAAATCTCAGGATTTTTCAATGGAAATCAACCCTTTTCACCGGACTTTTGATTTTTTCATCTGGTAACCATACTTTTACGCAATTTTCATCAAAACGTTAAATTTTATCGTTAAATAACCTCAAACAAAAACGAGATCATAAAATCTAATACATATATAAAATTCTCGTGTCACGGTGTGCGTAATTGAACTACTCTGAAACGGCTCGACCGTTTTTTTTATGAAATTTTATATGCATATTCAGTAGGTCTGAAAATCGGACAACCACGGGACAACATCCATTTTTCATCCCCCTAAATGTTATGGGTGGTCCACTTTTAAATATTTTTTTGGTCAATTTGTTGTTTTATTTTTTTTATGATACATCATACAAAAATACACACAACCCTAAATTTTCACCCTTCTACCACCAACCCCTAATTTATTATTGCGGTACGAAGTTCGCTGGGACAGCTAGTTCTCTATAAAAAAGGTAGGTATCAATTCTTTTTCCTAAGAGCGACCGTACCTGAGATACAACGATTTAAATACCTGCTTGGATAACTATCGATATGCATGTTTTGTTAAAAATCATTTGAAATAAAAATAACAAAAAAACAAGTGCAATTAACTTGTTTTCCTCCAACCTCAGTTGCTCTTTTTCGGGTATATAACCAAGTTCAAGTGTGGCTTGGTTAACACAGTAAAACCAAAGAAAGGGTTGGAAGTTTGTAGACCTAAATAAATAAAATTCCAATGGGTCGATTTAACTACGATAATTCGGCAAACTTTTCCACTAGCGTTCCTACTCCCATATAAAACGTGGGGTGCGGACCAGAGGCCAGTTGCCTGCCTCCTAAGCTGTGTGTGACGTCACAGAGCTCGGGCGCGAGTATAGAGTAGACATTACGTCTATGGGCGTCAGCGTACGTTGTAGAGAACTAGAGACGCTACTGAAGCTCGACCGGGGTGAACCACGATCGAACTCTGTGACGTCTCACGTTTCGGCCGCAGGTGAATATTCTCAATGAATGAACGATTTTGATGATTAAAAGTATATTAATTAAAAAGCTTATTAGATCATTTTGAGTTGATTTGCTGACCTAGTAATGATCCTCATTGTCAAGACCAGTCGTATTCTAATGTTCTATTATTATGAAATAAGTAGTTTCCAATTAAACAAAATCACAACAGACCTGTAGAAAACCTTGTTAAAAAATGCGATAAGTTCACCTCAGAGATGGGGTGTAAAAGTGTGACGCTAGGTCTTCATCATCAGCCTATTAATTTCCCCACTGCTAGGGCACAGGCCTTCCTTATGGATGAAATAGGGAGATTAGGCCATGAACCATCATGTGGATTGACGGGTGCTAACGACCGCAAATGCAGCCGGGACCAACGGCTTAACGAAGCACGGAGGAGCTCGAGATAGTAAATTTTTGGTCACCCATCCAAGTTAGAAGTGAGGCGAAAGTTGCTTAACTTCAACGATCGCAGCCGAACGCGCTTACCAGCCGCGCCATTTTTATTTTTTTTTATTATATATTATCTGCTGTCTGAACATTTTAATATCCAGATTGCCGGAGTAGTAGGTCATAACAACGCTAAATGGTAACAAATTATATTTCAAAATAAAAAATCAACATTAAATATTTTTTATCGTTATCCATAGGCGAATCGATAAAAAATCGGTTCATTAGAATATTAACACTATTTATCGAATCTACTAATTTCGATAAGAAAACCGGAATGGCAACCTAAACAAAATAATTTCAAGTTATTTTATCGGTAGGATTTCCGGTTGAAACGTCACCCATAGATTTCAGTGCAATTTTTTAACCAATCACCGAGCTCGGTTCAAAATTTATTCTGTCTAGCGTCGTTGAGTTGCGCTTGGCTTCGTTCTGTAGCGTGTGCGTGTATCTTGCGCGTGTTGTGTTGTTTTGTTATGAATCGAGATTGTTGTTTATCAAGACAGTTAACAATTAGCTAGGTGATTCGACGAGTGCGGAAAAGCAACGAAAAGTGATATTTATGATATGTTGATATTCTCACAGTGAGGTACGCAGTTATCTTCACGGGTGGCAGTTCGTATTTTATATTTAGCCACAAAAACTATTTTAGGTTTATTTTTTTTGTTTAATTCCAGCATGTCTACTAGAAGCGGTCGTTTAAGAGCTAGTGTAATAGAATCTAGTCCACCCAAGACTCGAAAAGGTGTTTCACCTCCGCGTTCTCCTGCCAGAACGCGTAAAACGTCCCCGACGCCTAAAAGTTCTCCAGCAACAAAAAATTCACCTTCAGCACGGCCTTCCCGTAAATCACCTTCACGGAAATCACCCAGTCGAAAACCGACGTCCAAGTTTCCCGCGCGTAAGTCTCCCTCAAGAGCAACTAAAGAAACCGGTGATAATGCTACTCAGAAGTCTCCAGCGAAGCGTCCATCGATCAAATCGGATGTGTCGGTCAAATTGGAAGATCTGTCTTCTAAACTGGAGATATATCGAAGCACACGCACTAAGAGATTCGAGTATTCCATCAAGGATGTTACAAGTACTACAGATAATGATTTGACATCGTTTGATAAAGTGAATGGTATAGATTCTAATTATGCTTATGGCCTAAAAAACCGTAAGTCAGTTGAAGGCATCCCACCACGAAGATCTAGTAGACTGAGAGACTTTATTGAAAGTGTGCCTGATATAAGACGCAGTATGAGCAAATCCCTGAGTAAATCTGTGAGTAAATCCATCAGTCAGTCTGTTGATGCATTCTCAGATGAGGAAAACTCAGCTGATAAACTTATGGTTAAAAACTCGAAACCAGTCACAAGAAAATTAGCAACACCTTTAAGGATGTCAGAGAGCAGACTCGTACTTAGTGGCAGTAAGTGGGAATTTGGAGGAAGGATTGGAACAGCATTACTAATTTTACTGATACCTTTGACAGTATTTTTCATCTTACTATCATGTAGTACAAAATCATGCTTTCCCCAAGTGCCTCTAAATCTAGCCGTACTAGGATCTCTTGGAACTTGGTTTTGTCCATACGCATTATTCATGATCATCAGTCAGTATGTTCTGCAGGCTGTGTTGGCTGTCACTCCTATTTGTGGAAAGAAAGCTGATAGACTGGATGACAGCAGTACTAAGTTCTGTTTTAATGCAACTTTTGCAAGTTTTATTGCAGTCACTGTTACTTTTTTGGTAGATTTTTATAAATTATTGGATGTAGAAACACTGCTGACTGATTATGTAAGATTGGCTTCAATGTCATACCTTTTTGCTCTTTTGTTGAGCATTATTCTGTATGTGAAAAGCAGGAAAGTTGACAACGCTGAATTGAATTTCTATGGGAATACTGGATATACATTATATGACTTTTTCATGGGCAGAGAGACACATCCCTTTATAAAAAAGTTGGATATTAAAGTTTGGATATCAAGAATTTCTAATATCAATGTTGTAAGTATTTAACTAGTTTGATCATACAGTTTTTTAAATTATAATAATTGTTTTGGCAATAAATATTATGACAAACAAAACTAATTCAAGGTTTTTTTGTTTCAGCTAATATTATCAGCATTTATCTTTAAACGAGGCCTCCAACTACAAGCATTAAAAGCAGATGATTTATCACTTAATGGACTTAATGATTTACCAACCAAACTGCACATACAACCAACAATTCTTTTGTTTTCTACTTTCCAATTGACATACATACTGAATTTCATATTGAAGGAACATAAAGTCACCACAACATTTTTCTGGCAATCAGAAGGTGTTGGGTATCTTCAAACAGTATCCAGTGCTTTGTACCCATTCTACTTCACAACAATATCTAAGTTTGTGGCAGATTCTCAATTGGTATTATCAACTAACATTTTAATTTCTGCTTCTGTACTGTATGCGCTGGGATTCTTCATAATGCTTATTAGTAATAATGTTAAACATGAATTCAGAAACAATCCACTTCACCCAAGTGTGACAAGTAAGTTGTATTTTCCATCTATTCATCACATTTTAAATCCTCATGAATAATTAATATGCTTTGGGGCACTATGCTATCAATATATATCACCAATATTAGTATAACTTTTAGTTTTCCTTTTACTGTTACTAACATTATTTTAAAAATATTTTTTTAAAGGCAAATTGAACTTTTCACAGGTCATAAATAGGCATAAGATTGACTTTTTTTTGTTTTTAGATATTGACTCAATGCCAACATTTCATGGGAAGAAGTTATTGGTGGGGAGTGTGTGGGGTATGCTGCGCCATCCAAACTACACAGGTGATATCTTGATGCATATTGCAATGGCTTTACCAGGGCTCGTCTCTCAGCACTATATTGCTGCAATTCCAGCACTTCTAACCATACTAGTGCTGGTTCATAGAGCATGGAGGGACCATGCTAGGTGCAACAGACGCTATGGGGCTGCGTGGAATAGATACTGCAAAAGAGTACCTTCAATAATCATACCAAAGGTCCTTTAACCTGCAATGATTTTAATTGGATTAATTAGCTCTACATATTTTTAGATATTGGGCTTTACATACATTGAGGATATACTAGATTATTAGTGTGCATTTGGAATATTATCATTAAGTTACATAAATGAAGTATTTTTTTTACAAACAATCTGTACTGAAAAGTGTAAATAGAGTATAAAACAAATTAATACTTGTGGGATGGTGCAACCTGTAAGCATTTTTTGTGTTTTCAAAATGTACATATCAATGAATGAAATAATATTCACCATTTAGTATTGCAGAGGTATTGTGAAATATAATTAAGAAGATCTCGAATAGTAGTAATTTGATCTTTGTTGAATCTTGCATAGTATATTATGTAATTAAGTAGTTAATATACACATATTTTTGAGATTAATGTTAATGAAATTGCCATATGAACCACCGGTTTTTTCGAATTCTAAATTAGCTCTCTATAAATTTTTGTAAAGAAATGATTTATGTAGTTTAGTAATTACTTTTTTAGAACCAAATCTAGTAATCCTCTTACTACTTGTGTAGTTAATAATTTTATTCTTTGACATGAAACAGAAATAATGATAGTAACTTTTACTTGTTTTTTATGCAATGAAGTTCTTATTTAATTTATGTAATACCTGAACAAAGTATCTTCATATTTGTAATTATGTTTGTCTTAGTAAAAAGGAAGATTTTTTATGTAGTTCTTAGTGTTTATAGATATTTTATAACATGACATACTTATTATTTTTACTTAATTATTTCATATTGGTATATTATTATAATAATGCGTGTGCCTCATGATATTTAAGCTTCAAAAGCATGTTTTAATTTGAAAATAGTTGGGAATATTTTCCTTAACTTTTCTATGACATTAAGGATTTTGCTCAATTTTTTTGATCTGTCTGGTTGTATTAATAGGTTATTATAGGGAGACAAATCCGCCTTTTGATCACAATATTGTAATTCTACCTACTAAAATATGCATAGACTTGCCACTTGTTAGTTTAAATACATAAAATGAGCACACTAATATTTTCTTATACATAATGAATTCATAAAGCACATTATTTAAATGTCAGGTATAATTTTTATTTTTAAGTGTGTCACAAATTTTTATTTAATAAATTTTTAGTACAATATGAATTTCTAATATTTATTTTTATTTAAACTAATACTGCGCTAGGTACCAAGCTATGATGTATAAGAATTATTTAGCTGCATTGTACTTGCAGTTTGGTGTGGCAAACTAGAACAGTGGTGTCAATTCTGGCATGATTCTCTAAACCTATATTTAAGGATCAGTCACTCCATTTCATTCTGTATAGAGAATGACAAAATGGACTTGTCAAATTCAAGTTAAGGGTTTAGATAATCATGCCAGAATCGAACACCAGTATGTGCTATTTAAATGCATATTCACTATAGTTAGTCATTAAGCTGGTTGCTTCGATTTTCGCGCCATCAAAGAAAGCTCTTTGTAGGAGCTCCATGGCGCAGGTGGATAGCGTTTTCGGCCTGCGGTCGTTAAAGTTAAGCAACTTTCGCAACGGGCGGTCAGTTTGTGTGTGTGAAAAAAAGTTATCTTGAGGTCCTCCATGCTTCGGAAAGCACGTTAAGCCGTTGGTCCCGCAGTAGTTAGCATCGACCAATCCGCCGCATTGGGCCCGCTTGGTGGGTCATGGCTCAATCTCCCTATTCCATCCATAGGGAAGGACATTAATAGGCTGGTGATGATGATAAAGCTCTTTGTGGTTGCCTTCTTCATCCTTAGTGCTTTCTTCATAGTTTACTTATGGGTCCTTAGTAATCAAATATACAAAACTAGCAAACCAGTGAAACAAATGTTCACCAAAACCTGAACTCAAATCCGTTTTGTAGTCTTATCAGAATATTCTTAACTTATAACTTAAATATTCTCTTTATCTATCTCTTACGATTTGGCCGCTGAAACAGCACCACAGACAGACGGACTTGTCTAATAGATAAGAGATTGTATGTAAAAAATCTCTTACATGTCGGAGTAGGGTTCGAAATTTTAATGAAATTTACTTTTGAAGTTTTTGGTGCGTCCGCCCAGCATTTCACATAAATAATCCACATGGCTGTGGACCTGTAGCACAGTCTAGATTAATGGAAGTAGCATGGGGTAGAGTAGGCCATGCGTACGTGATTCTTATGGTGTGGCAAGCCTCTTTAAGCGGTGGCCTAAAGGTAGGAGATAAACATAATCGTTAATATTTAACGGCATCAAAAAGGAAACAAGAAAGGTCGTCATGTTTCAATTATTTATTTTACTATAAAACACACATACGATTTGTAAATAAACATTCGATATTCAGTTATCTAATTACAGATTTCGTTTCTGAACATAATAATATTGTATAGTAGGTAATTACTTACTTTCACACTAAATAAAATACTAATGGAAAGTTTATCCACCTTTTGCTGATTAATGGTGCCAGCAAATGAGTACATTATTTTAGGTAAATAATAATTAATTACACTTTTAAAACTAACTTACATGAAACTTATGCAATTTAGTTACGTAATATTGGTATGATACGTGAGGAAGTAGTGAATGTGATTCGAAAATGTCAAATGACTGATATGTAGTTCGTTACCAGAAATCAATCTAAATATAATTGCGGTTTAATGCGGGAAATAAAATGATAAGCTTGCATTGTTGAGTGCTGAAATGCACTCCCAGCGGTTTTATCAATCTGGCCTTAGAAATGAGATAAAAACCTTCGCATAATTGTTTTGACGCAATAATAAAAACTTGGTTCATCAGCAATCCAGCAGCATCACCACAGTCAATAGCCAATTTTTTTCACTGTTTGGGGTAACATTTTTGATGCAGTATTTTATGACCATGGACGTATAAAAAAAGCTGAATCCGAATATGAGGCAAGAAATTAATTTTGCGATGGCGCTTTGAGTAATAATTAGTTTATATAATTATGGTGCCCAAAAGTACCCGATTTTACAATGATATTACATATATGTACAGTAGAAGCGATTTCAGAGGTTTTAATTTTTTTTTTGCTAAGAATAGTATTTTTTTATTTCTCTTTCAAATGAAATTGTTGTATTTTTAAAATTTGCAAAGTAATAGGTAGAGGGCATCAAAAGCTTCGATTTGCATTTTTGGTTTTTCTCCATAAACCTATTATTGCCCCGCAATCGCCAAATTCAGATTTTTTTAAATATGCGATTGCAGCGCCCACTCCAAATATAAAAAAATAAAGAGAATAAACAAGAAGTACTAGCGATTCATATGAAAAAAAAATTTTTTTCAAACAAAATTAAAACCTGATATCGGGTACTTCTGGTCACCATATATTGGCTAATTATTCAAGTGCCATCCATGGTCGAAATTAAATTATGACCTCGTATTAGGATTTAACACCCGCGAAAACATAAATAAATACCAGTGATAATATTCTGCTTCAAATATTTGGCCCCCTAAAAATGACAGGACGACTGGACTATTCCTGTATAACTATCACAAATTAACCATGGGTTTTATACAGAGGTACTTTATAAACGCACAATTACATCTTGAATTTTCATTTTTTAATTAAGTATCAGAGGTTAGCGAACTATTTATAGAATCAGAAGATCCGAGTTAAACTCCGTACGGGTTCTTTCGCACAACCCCGTGCGGATGTGTGAATGAATATGTTCGAATTGGTGTAATGGGCATATTTACACGAAGTCTGGTTTTGTCGTATTCCAAATCGCACACCTCGCTGGTCAGGTTGCTACCTCATTTCCACTTTTTTTTAAGTGTGTATGCTTTTGCAAATGACCTTTACAGCGTCACCGGGTTTGAGGACGGCGAAATCCTAATTGGCGAGTGCCTCTAAAGGTATTCCAGGCGGATGGCATCTCCCCACGGGGCGAGTCTGCTCTCCGTCTGAAGCCTCTAGTCCACTCGAACCGGAGGGGGGCATTTCCACTGATATCGCGAGCAAATATGGGCTGATTAACACAATGCATAACCTACCACCTACCCTATAACCGTCGCTTACGTTCAAGACTCACTCAAATGTTGAACCAAACCGATGTATAAATCTGTGGGAATTGCTTGCTTTTGCCACTTATATCATCCGGTTGATTCTGGTTTCCCACCGCACTATTTTAGTGAAGTAACCGTTTCTTTATTCATGTGGAATGGTGGTTGATACTAACAAACAATGCTCAGCTTTTATAATGGTTTTGGGATGGAGGACAAAAGTTCACAACTTAATTACAATATAAAAGCATAGCATAAATAGTAGTTTGCCATTATATAGTATAGAATTTAAAGGAACATAATAAAACATCATTATAATAATGCAATTTAAGGTAAATCCATCTACTCTAAATTAACTAACATCAAGTACCTGTAGATTTCATGCTAATACATACATAGACCCTGAGACAAATCCATAATTATAAATTTACTAAATAGGCCTATTGAACCTTTTGAACAAAAATAATACGCATTATCGCTTGAACATATTTTTTTAGACATTAATTCTGCCTTTGATGAAAGAAAGAACAAATACTTATACCTGAAATATGTTTTGGCACTAATATTTTTTATCAACTCTTGACAGACGATACATATAATTTTCTCTGTGGTTATTGACTAATTCAACATTAATAATATTTTGTTCATCAACGTTAAGAAAATAATGAGTGATTACCACAAATTCTATTCATATTTATTTTTACTAATAATGATTTTCGTAGTAGCACGTCCATTTTTGTCTAAATTTATCTAATTTCATAAGACTTTATTTCAATAATTATCTACATTTTAATTATATTAGCTGTTCATTCAGGCATCTGTTATAGTTTACATAATAAACATAAAATTAAAGTTTCTAAAATTAATGTTGTATACGTGCAAACAATTGGGAGTAGATTAGATTAGATCTGAACAAAAAAATCATATTAAATTCATAATCAACAAATGTCATGCATGCCTCTCTGTCTGAAAAATTTAATAGGATACTATGGACATCTTCAGTTAAAATACAAACAATAGAAACATAATATGTTTAGGAAGACACAAGTACATACATAAATTTCTTATCTATGTAAGCTCGACCAATAATGATGCTTTAAAATTCACAACAAAATATTTTACGAAGATTAGAAATATTAAAATGACCAGGTTTCTAGGTATCCAAAATATGTACCTATCTACGGTACTGGTAAGAAGAAAAATGTGACATGTTTTAATAAAATTTAACAATTAGTTTATAGTTAATTTAAAATCACTTCCTTTAATCACAATGATCATACATAAACTGCGTGTACCTATTGTTATCTTGCACGATTTTTAACTTCTTAATTTTGAATAAGTCATTTAATATGCATTCTATTTATTTGGTTCCATTTAACATTCACTATGAAAATATACACATTTAAAACCTATTTTAACTTTTATATACAATAATATTTACAGGTACGATATCTTAGAAAATATTTCAGTTTTATTGAACATCAATCTATGATTGAATAACGTGACAAGGGGAATAAATAACATTTGGAAGTATGTAGGTACCTATGTAAAAATATATTTTTTTACAAACAAAAATATTGTTTAAATATTTATATATATCCATAGATATTTCAAATTATTGTCGCCACGACAAATATGGAAATTAATTTAAAATGTTGAAATAAATCCCCTATTTTTTTTTTACCTAAGATTTGAAATTTCAAAGCATCGCTTTTAGTTTATGGCAGTGTTTCATCGTCACCTGTTTATGTTGTTTTTAATATCATATTTTTATTTCCACAAAATATTTCTTCAGGTCTTTTTAGGCCTTAATTGATAATGTCAATCTGTTTCAAATATTCCTCTTTGAACGCTAGTCCGCTTTTAACGAGACGTTGGCGTTCTAGAGAAGCGAAAGACTAACAAAATCTAAAATATAAGTACCCAAAATGTGAATGCGAAATCATGTGAAAAAAATGCCTTATAATGATGAGTAATTGCCTAAAATTATATTAGTAGGTACAAATTCTAAACCGTCGTTGGTATAACTATAAACACTCTAAACCAAATATTACACTCTAAACATCTATAAAAAATGGCCGGAACTTGTTAAAAAGAAGGAAAATTAGTGGGAAATGGAAGCGACCCAAATCTAATTTCTAGTTTACAAATTTATAGAAGCACTAGGAAAGTTTAAAGGAAGAAAGTACCTAATTAGACACATTTTCAGACTCGATGATTAAAACAATTTTATAGAGAAGATGAACTAATTCTAATGTAAGATGGTTAATTATATGAAAAGATATTGTATATCTGTAGTAATTGTAATCGTAGATAGAGGCATCTATCAGATTGATAATTTTCTAATAACCAACGGACTTATATTCAGAGAAATCTACCTAGGTACTGTTTTAAAATTGTGAAAGTACTAAATTACACACGGGCCTATAATTTATGACCTTGCTCCATAGTAATTTCTAACATTACGAAGTAGAAAGATAGATAAGATTGTAATTTTTAAAATTAGAAAAAGAGATATTTTGAACAAATCATATTTTGTCTTTGGTATTTTACTGTTGGATTAAGTAGTTTAGCCATAACTATTGTAATGAATATCTCATAGTATATGCTTAGTTTTATTTTATAAAAAACCATGTTCGCTGGAAGGTGGGTACTATCTAAACGCATAAGACCTTTCAACACTTTCTAAAGAGGAATTTAGACTAAAAGAAATAAAGCAGATAAGTAGAATAGGTCAGAAAGCGCTTTTAAGTCGTTTTTCACCATTGCTTGAAAATTTAGAATTTTCTCAGGTAACCGAGTGGAAAATTAAAAAGGCAAAGTGAATCGACCCTTAGTCTTATAAAATAGATCTTGACATGATGTGTGGTTACGGAGCACGGCGCGGGAGGGCGCGCGCGCCGGCTGCAGGCCGTCAGAAGTTGCTGTCGAACACACCCATCGATCTAGAGATTTCTTCATCCCTTATACAGCAGTCCAGAAACTCGTCCAAAGTGAGGACGCCGTCTCGATTGAGATCCATCTTCTGGAAGATAACAATGTACCTCATTAAAAACACTTACAGATAAACTTTTTTCACAGTGCTCATATAAACAACCTACCCTCATTTTTTCGGAAATGAAAAAATATAACAATGAGTCTCACATTATGCAAATATCCGAGTGAAAACTGATAATTATATAATAATGTAGGTAACAAAAATATTTAAGTTAAAGAAATTAAAAGATTTTATGATTTGGGAAAAATATAGGAATATTTTTTAGTTTTCGAAGCGATTTTTTAGCTACTTAATAAGCTAGGGGAACTGGAAGGAATGAACGTAAAACAACAATTAAACATATGATGATGGTAGGTATTTAAAAGAGGCATAGTGGAGTCACAATATATACACGAGCTACTGCTAACTAGCCGTTTTCTTGAAACAGATACCTACTACTGAGCGGAGCGCTAGGGTTGGTACCTACAAAATGTAAAACATATTTGTGTAGATTTTTATTGTATGTGTATAGTTACTATTGCCACGTTACGGAATCGAAACGGACGCAGACGGCGCGGTCGACGCGGCGCAGCTAACTTAGCTCGGCCATCGACCAGTCTCGGCGGCGCGCGCGCGACGTGGCACTGCGTAGATTTGTCTTGCCAAGATTGGTTGGCGGCCGTGTAAATGACGTTTGTCTGTGTGCGTGCGTCAATTCGGGCACTAGTATGAAGTCGGAGTACTGCTCTTGTATGTATTGTGCTGGAGTTTCCGTGTGCGTGCGTCAATTCGGGCACTAGTATGAAGTCGGAGTACTGATCTTGTATGTATTGTGCTGGAGTTTCCGTCCGAATTGGAGCGCCCGTCTGGGAAGTAACTTCCACCTTACAGAAGATCATTTTAAAATAACTCTACCTTTTGGTGGTGTTGTGTTTCTGTTTTCTGTCGGTGAGTAATGTTCCAGTCCCCGTAGCACGAGCACCACAATTTACATTATAATAGTTCTTTATCTAGTACATTGCCGTTCTGCTGTACTGGCTTATATCAAGTCCAAGTTTATCTTTTTCCGCTAAGAATTTTAAGTTCAAATTTTTTCAAAACATGGAATTCTTATTAATATCTACTACCTACTACTGCTGATATTAACACAAAGGGACATGGGAATTATAATGTAAGGTGCCATTACCTGAAACAACCTTTCCACTTTTTCCCGTACGACTTCTTCATCGACCAGAGGCTCCACTATCTTGCCCATGAGGTCGTAGATCGCCGACACGATTTCTGTCATTTCTTCTTTAGTAATACACCCGTCTCCGTTGATATCATATAAAGAGAATGTCCAACGCAGTTTCTCTTCTAGCGTTCCTCTTGACAGTATCGATAATCCCACCACAAATTCCTGAAATTATTATTTGTTTCTTTGACTGATTCAAGAAAAAACTTGAATGTGATGATAATAAACTAAACTAGTGCCATGGACTTAAAATATATTAATACCTAATCATCAATGGAACAACTACTTGAACTACCTATCGAAGTATTTATTTATGAAGGTTTAGTAAGCCTTGATACCTTACAAGTGCTTACAAAGGTGAGATAGCGTAGGACGATAAACATTGCTCCCTATTAATATAATTAAAGCTACTCCCAGTTGAACGACAGTAGCAGTAGTTTATTATCGAAACAGTCGGTTTGTTGATAGACTTATATTGGACATATAGCTACAGGTCAACTAAACTTGCTAGCTGACTTTAAGCTTGATATAAAACGAGGAGCTGACGAACAAAACGGTGTTATTACGCATTTGGTCAAACTACATTTTTTTTACAGTCCGGAGGTTTCGGACCCGTTGAATTTGAATTTCAAATAATTTTCAATCAAAACCGCCTAAAACAGTGTTAAAATTACTAAATTTATAAATTAAAAACCATGCCAAAGCTCACTGTAGGTATGTCATTCAGTTTTATATAGCTCCTGTAAAATTTAATTTTATGTAATAGAGATTAACAAGTGACGTCACGAGCCCCTACTCCCAAACTTTGACGCGCTATAACTTTGTCATTTTTTAGTTGATTGCCCAAAGAAAAAATACGTGTCCATTATTTTTTGATCATCTAACTGACGGACTAAATAGAATTTCGTTTACTGTACCGAGTCATCACCCCTATTATATCGTTTTGTTCGCCAGCTCCTCAAATTATATTAATCAATGTCTAACATTTCTGAGTAGCTCCATGGCGCATTCGGTCGGTCTACAGTCGTGAAAATTCGCAATGGCAGGTTCTCAGATCGGTGATCAAAACTTTATTATCTCGAGCTCCTCTGTGCTTCGGAAGGCATGTTAAGCCATCGATTCGGTCTGTGTTTGCAGTCGTTAGTACCGTAATTAAAGTAATCCGGACTGTGGCGGTGGCTCTCATGCGATGATATCCATTCACACCGATTAGCCTAGCTCCAAATTAAGCACTTAAATACAATACAATTAAGAATTTTAAATTAATATATTGAAAAATTCGCCGTTGGTTTTTATCTTTCAATCACTGCCAGTCGAGATTAAGGCACTTTTAAAAAGTACAATTCGTGTAAAAAATTCTCCGTTAGGTTTTCTCTTTCAGTGCCAGTAGGGAATGGAAGACTTGCTTATTTATAAGAACCTAGGTAACTAGTTCCTTAAAATAAGGTTTCCCTATAACAAAGAGGTAGAAATACAAGTAACGCCGGGTGCCATACTTGTGTGTTTTTTAATGGTACTATTAGGATAAATTAGTGTCTTTTTTACCATCAATGGACTTAGGTGGGTCATAACTAAGAAGCTTCCCGTCAGTGGCGGGGCAAGACCTAAATTTGATGTGGGCAAGACAGATTTCGCGAGACCCTGTTCTGTGGCGACCTGAACACGGATTTTATAAAATAATAAAAAAAAGAAATTCACTTTTAAGCAATGCATAAACATTTTTGAGGCGCGAGGTCCCTTGTAGCTCGAGGCCGTAGGCCCACGTCGCCCACGCCTTACGCTGCCTCTGCTTCCCGTAGGCCTAGTCGCTAACGATTTTTGCCAGTTAGAAGTAATAGCCACCGAGGTACCTACTAATCCACTGCTGCTTTGTTACAACGCCACTAAGTACTTGTTCAGAAAAGCATCGGTAAATGGACTTTGATCTTCAGTTACCATATAGCGAATAGATCGACAGGAGTTGGAACTAAGGCTATCAATAAGTTGGTACCTCTAAGTACACCTAGTCATGGACCAATATTATGTTAATAAAGCTCCATACGTAAGTGGTTAGCGCGTTTGGCAGCGATTGCGGAAGTTTTGCAACGGTCGGTTATTGGATGGGTGATCAAAAATTTATTATCTCGAACTCCTCTGTGCTGTGGAAGGCACGTTAAGTCGTTGGTTCCGGCTGCATCTGCAGTCGTCAGCAGCCACTAATTCGCACTGGGCATACATGGTCACAGCCCAGTCTCCCTATTCTATCTGTAGAGAAGGCCTGTGCCCCAGCAGTGGGGACTTTAATGGGCTGATGATGATGATGACAGGTAATAACAGTAGATTTCTTACCTCAAAACTTAACAGGCCACTTCTATCTTGGTCTAATGTGTTAAAAACGTAGTGTGCATACTGCGCAGTGTTTGCTGTAATAGAAAAGAGTTAATTACGATCCATACAGATAATGTCACCCGAGGCAACGCAAAATATCATTTGATTACCATCGTCATATGTATTCCTCTGCTTCTTTTGTACAAATTTTGAATATCATCAGAGGCGACAGCTCCGTCATCCTATCGCGTCTCGCATCGACAGATTCGATGAAAAGTAGGTAAGCAGTGCCCCTACCGGACGTAAGAACAACTGGCTCTTTCCATACAAAATTTGTGGATGACGATACAAGTTCGTGCTTGGTCCTCAGAAATTTAATAGATATGATGAATAAAAGACCCATTGGTAATATATGATAATGATGTCGATTCTGGCATGATTCTCTAAAGCTAAACTTAAATTTGACAACAGTGCATCCTTGTCCTTCTCTATACAGAATGAAAAGGTGAGGCTGACCTTAAATTTAGTTTTAAGTTTAGAGAATCACGCCAGAATTGACACCAATGTTAAATTACTGCTCTCTCTCAGCTCTAGTGAACGGTTTCTTCAGCAGATACCGGATTTTCTGGCAATCTGGCTAGACTACCTCGGACAGGAGGATCACTAGGAGCACTGTGGTCTTTATGTATACGAAAGTAATAGATTTAGTATACATAAGATTAAGCAGGACCTTTAAAAAAATTGTAACCTGAGGGATTTCATAGCTAGGTCGAATGTGGGCTCACAGACTCAATTTTCATATTACTGTATCTGAGCAATTTAAATAATTTTAATGAATGGTAATATTTAGAAGGTATTTTGTATATTCAACGAAATTGGTCAGATACAATATTATTAAAATTGAGGTGTTTCGTCTGAAACCGCAGATTCGGAGAGGTAACATTCGACTTACAGCTACAAAATCCTTCTGGCTAGAATTTTTTAAAGGTCCTGCTAAATCTTTATGCATTTGAAATCAACTAGCTTAGCTTAGGTAGCTTTCCATGGCCTTTACGGCACGCTTATTTTCTCTTCTCTGTAACCTTAAAGGTGTCCTGCAGTACTATATTTATAGCTAGATACTTCAACAAATATGACGGCAAGGATTTAACCGAAATCTAATACTAAAGATCAGTTTGATTTGGTTTTTAAGAATATATTGATTATTGAATTGATAATTATTTTATCACAGGTCACAAACGTCTTTCCTGTTATCAATTATTGAAAAAATCAACAGATTCAGGATCTTATTTACTACACACATGGCCCAGGTACATCAGATTACCCAATGTAAAAATTTAAATACAAAGCTCCAGCTAGATTATGTTAATCTTAAAGTACGAAGAAGGCATTATAATATTATTATTTGGATAAAAAGTGGCAAGAGAAGTTTGGTGTCAAAGAAAAATACACATAATTGTACATTTACTTTATTTCAGAAGATAGGTACATCAGTGGTTACAGACTTTGATAATTGATATGGACACAAGTCCAATATATTAAACATTACCACAAAGAAAAAATGAAATGCCTTAGTACCTCAGCATTAAAAAAATACTGGCTGCTGTATTAGACGTGTCAACTAAAAATTATCACAATGGAATTCCTTTTTACTTGTATTATTTGGCTTACCACGTTTCAACCTAATTAAGAGTAAGATTTCAGAAGTCATGTCTGATAAGAATTTCAAACTCTGAAATTTTCTCTTGTCATACTTCAGATATCAACATCATCATTAAAATTAACTTAAAAGTAAAATGTTTGAGATGGGCACACCATAGCGATCTTCCCATGGGAAATGGACAGTTCCTTAACTTATAATTTACACTAAAAGCGCTCCACCGGTCTGCTGTTGGTACACCTCTATTGTATCACCCTCTTCCATTTCCAGTGATGTTGGTGTGTCATTTTCATTAATAGGCTGCCCATCGAACCTGAATCGTACTACTTGCATTGATAGACCCTGTAAATCAAGTTTTTTAATGTAAATTATCAATAAATTCCACTTAAACCAGAAGACTTACAAAACAGATCTATAGGCAAACCCCTGTGTCTATGAATGGTATGTACACCGGATGTTTAAAAGTTTATTACTCGGAGGTAGTTCTTTCGAATGACAAATTTTTGCAACATAGACATGACTGTTTATATATATTAATTTAAAAAAATATACTTATTTATATGTACCAATGAAAGCATTGGATACTAGGGTAACAGGACCCAAACAAAAGTTAAATTATCTTTAAAATCTTGTATTTGATAATGCCTCAAAATGTTTTTGTCTAACTAAAAACAGTGATTAATTTAAATAATGTAATAATAACATACTACATTTTTATAATATACGTTATATTTAAATATTGTACATTTAATTACTCAATGCCTACATTCGAAATTTCCCTATCTCGCATAATATGCATTTTTGGTTGAGGCCCTGTGAAATCCTCTTAAACGGGTTTTACTGTATATACTTAAACTTTAAACCATGATGTAAGTTATTATCTCAGTATAAGCTCTGCTTTACTCACAACAATGAATAGAAAAATGCTGTTTATTTTAGGAACTGTGCAAAACTGTATCACTAACCCTCTTTTTTTTTATGACACATTATCTGAATATTAAAAATATTTTAGTTGGAATGGACTATATTTGCTGCATCAGCTTTCCAAGCATCAAGATGCTACTCATACTAAATATCAGTGGAATTAATAAATTTGCTTAGCTCTGTATAATACTAGAACAACCAAACACAAATAACTAAGTTCAAAAACCTAATCCCGCGATTACCTGGGTAACAAAATATTTGTTTAACAATATACTCTTTTATGGGGCAGTGTGTAAAAATAGTGATTGTTTATTATATATATTTTACATATTAAATTCTTAGAAAAGGTTTCCTATATTGTAAAGTCCATAAGGATATAGAATAGAATCAATAATTGTTGTTTAAGTCAGTCCTCACATTAGTGTTTCATCACACCCACTCTCCTATCACTAAGAGCCTTTCCAGTTTTCATTATTGGAGTCATGGTCATTTACCAACAGCCATTATTGTAAACAAAATACTCACTGGTGGAAGTGTGCAGAAATTGCAGTTGTGTAGGGTTTTAGGCAAAATGTTTCAAGAAAATACCAGGTAGGTACATACAATTTAAATAGCGTCCTTCTACATATTGTCCGTCAGTTCTGTTATTAGACCGGCAAAATGAAACAAAGTAACGCTAAGGAATTAATCGAATTAGTACGGCTAATTTCGCTGTGAAATGCTTTTAATATTATGAAGCAAGATGTGGAACATGCTTACCGCTCTATCACAATACGCGTTCATCAGTTTCCTCAGAGGTGTGTGTTTCTTTATTTTGAATTGGACAATAGCATTATCCTGACCTAATACTTTCAAGTTGATGTGTTCACTTTCTCCCTGGAAAATATAAAATAATATGGTGTTTACAAGACTGATGCTACAGTATTCATTGTGCAATTACAAGTTACGAGGGAATAACCACATTTCTAATAAAACGCCATGTCAAAGCGAGAAATGGAATACACTGATAATACATTGATTTACGTACCTTTTTCTCGTCAGACATTTTGAAGAAACTTTGATTTCGATAATTACTAACACAACTATATGAATTCGCAAGAGAATTCTTAGATTTCTTCAATACAGATAAACTAGTGACAGATTCGTAGTCCGGTGGCGTGGTAATGGCGTCCGGTCAAAGCTTGGAGGAAACAGTTCAATGCTACCAACTGCGTAATAAAAGCTGCGCGAATGGCGCGCTTCTGCGCAGTACTGTCAGGGATGCGTTTTATTAATTTTAGGGCAAGTGAAGTTAAATGAAATATTTTCAAATTTTACTAGCATAGTAGTACAAATTACATATATATAAGGTTATTTAAACAAAACCTTAGTAAATATTACGGACTAAGTATAAAAACATCTTTAAAAAACTCAAAGATATTTGAAGCGTTTAATTATTTCGAATCATGACTGGCAAAATTGATTTTGACAACTATGATTCATCACAGCACTACAGTAGACAATTTACTTTCAATTCGATGTGTTTTTACAAAATGTCTTGTTATTAATAAAGGTAAAATAAAATCACCGTTTAAAGTTAGCAAATACGAGATATTTCATTTTATAAAGTAGATATTTCAATAATAAGTATTTTTATGTTCAAGTGCCAACCTAACAAACCTAACCGTCGCTGTTATTAGAGTTGCCCATATCGATAGTTTTGCGGAAGTGGCCAGTGTTGTACCATGTTTCGATTTGTGTGTAGGAATCTTCCTACTTTTGGTTCGACCAACTTGAAAAGTGCCAGTTTCCGACTTTCCTTTGTGGATAGTAGTATAGTAGTCAATCAATCATTGCCAAAGGCGTACCTTCAATATTTTTAATAAAGCTATCTTACATGTAAGTTATTTTTGATATATTAGTATGTACCTATATCAAAGCTCATAGTCGTTTTATTATTGTGTTCTTAGAAATATGTTACAAGCATGACATGATAGTTTACAGATTTATGGCTTTTTGTAATTATTAAAAAAAAAAGGATTGATGATCCTCATTAGTGATTTTCTTTATATTATTTCTTAAAAAAGTTAATTTGTTGTACAATTACCATGATATTACATAATTACAATGAACATACTACCTTTAGTTTTCTAAATCTACCTTAAACTTCTTTACTCAAATCGTGACACTTTTGGTCGGTATCTATTTAAGTTTTCTATCCACAATGTTCCTTTTTAGTTCAGCCGCAGCGTGAAATTACATAAATTTGTCCCCATTTCAAATAATCGGTAGCGGTCACCAATATATTTCGGCTGAGTTAAATTCGGTACGTGACTCGATTCTTAAAATAAGACAAGCAAATTGGTATCGATTCTCAAAACCGATTATTTATAGGCGTAATTACGTTTAGCGTGTTTTACCTTAAACACGATTTTATTGTTTGTGAGTGATATAGATTCAAAGGAACATTATTTAAAATAAATTGAGCAAGGAAATACAGATGTCAAATTTTTCTTGAGTATTTATTTACAATTAAGTTTTTATGACGCAGTTAAAAAGTTACGTTGTAATCTTATATTAAATTAAAGGTTGTAATGTAACTCTAACTGTACTTCTTATTTTGTTCCTCTACGTTCAATCTTTTTTGCCATCACTAATTTTAAAACGTTAGGTATGCTTTTTTAAGACTTGAATTTCACTTCCGTCAAGTCTTTCAAAACTATTTCTATTGGTAGTTCACAAGTAGGACCTGCTTCAAAAGTTTATAATTATTAACATTGAAATACAAATAAAAGATATAGTTTAAATTGCCTTCTTACTTAAATAATTAAAAAAACCTGTCGTAATACCTGTTTATAAATAAATTTACCTAATAGGGGTTAGGGGCTTGCCAGCCTACGGCTCATGGGGGAGGGGGAAGTTCCAAAGCCGTAGCTTGGGGGGGGAGGGGCGGTCGTAGTATACTAAAGTTAAGACTGGACTAAACCGATGCTGTCACTTTTGTTTGGTAAAAAGAAGACAGAGACAACATTAGACTTATAAACCAAGACTAACTTTACTGCTGCTGCGGCTGCCACCCCCTTAGTGACGCCCTTGAATAGGGGTAACTTCTGATGTATTTCTTACCATATAATTAGGTTTATTTGTTTTATTATTTAGTTAACTTTAAAGCTTTCAAGATAGTCAAGATACTCGTAGTACCATATTGTAACGTGGATATTCAGATTGTGATAAAAATCTCAACGCCAAGCATCTCTTCACCACTATAGCAGTCACGCCTGCACTCAAATCTTTATAAAATTGATAAAATCTAAATTGAAATTGAGTGACTGATTGATTTACTGACATCTCAACGCACAGCAGAAACAGCTTGGTCTAGAGATTCCAAAGACATGTAGATTCCTTATGAGGGTTGGGGTGCACAAAGAAAAGATTTTAAAAAAATCACCACGGATGGGCTTACAGGGGATGAAACTTGTATGAAAAATCTTGTTCCTTACTCATTTAAATAAATTATACAGATTGTCATTTTTACTTTTTCTAAACTATTCCCTAAAAGGGGATTGGGTCAGTGTCGAGGTTCTTTATACATATATTATTAATTTTAACGTGCATTTCGATTAACTCGAAACTTGGTATTTTTCCAGACCTAGTTCAGAAATAACAATTATAATGTGTATAAATTTTACTGGGGGGCTTGATAAAATTAAAATTGATGTAAATAATATTTAAAAAAAAATACTAGAAAAAATACTACGTGAACCAGGCAGCAGACGGGACTCTAAACCGCCAACGATATTAAATACCCGCATCCTTCGCTATCCGGGCAAATGCACAGACCATTGTGCTACCGCGGCCCTGATGAACAGGGCGTCCCACGGCTACCTCACACGGAGGGAAAGTGTGGTATTTTCCAATTACAGCACTAGAGCGCATTATGCGGCATAATGCTTATCGTTGAATGTTTCAACTACAGCAACGCTTCGCACAATCGAGCACTCACACACACAGTGACAGAAAATTAACAAGTGTTTTTGGAGTTTACTCCTTAACAATATATAAGGGGCCCGGTATGAGAAAATGTGAGGAGTAAAATCTATCGATGAATGACCTCGTTACGTTTTTGGTGCGCATCCTATGTCGCGCAACTTTGACAAACAAAGATGACGGTTTGACATTAATAAAAATTTTAAAATCTGAACTGATTTTAGATATTGTTTCTGATACAGCATTGGGGACAACAAGGTATGGTACAACCATTGATGCGGTATTTTCAAGATTCGTGAACCACGTATCTACGAACGTCCATGTGTCTTATTTTAGTTACCATAAACCACTTGTCACTGTAATTAATAATGCAGACAACGTTGATTTAATTAATATTTAAAAAAATGATAATAGTCTGATAATAATAATTACATAATTTATCAACATTCCTAATGATATATTTATGCACATCTGAAATTGACTATTGTAAAAAGTTTAATGTAAAATATTTCGTCGATTAGTTATAATACATGTATATGAAATGAATAAATATACATTTATATCTGTATATTATTTTCATATATTTGTTAATTTACCCTTTCATACAGTGATGTCGATTCTGGCATGATTCTCTAAAGCTAAACTTTAATTTGACAACAGTGCATCCTTGTCCTTCTCTATACAGAATGAAAAGGTGAGACTGATGTTAAATTTATTTTTAAGTATAGAGAATGACGCCGGAATCGACACCAGTATCAATCTTTTTTAAGTTAAATAAACTCTTTTTGCGTCTGGTAAGACTATCGAACTTAAGGAGTAAACTCCAGTCGTGCGTCGGACCTGACACACACATTTTTTTTCTTTAAGTTGGCATTGATCGAAATGTTTTATTTATTTAATATCGTTAGTAATATTACTTATTATTGAAAAAATTTTAAAGCTTTCGTTTCATTATAGTTTTTTTTTAAAATAATCAAACTTAATTCAAACTGTATTAAAATAATAAACATAAGTATGGATGAGGGTACAAACATTGACTTTTTTATTCAACATTGAACTTAGCCCACTCTGCTGGTGCCTTTGAAAACAAATGTACGTTCCAATTAAGCATCAGCATAATTCGGCATTGTGCGCCACTGAGTCGCATTATGCTCTGTAATTGGAAAACAACCATTATTGAAGATAGGATATTTTACTGAAATAAGACATCGTTTTATCACTGATTTTTTCAAAATTGCCTGCTACAACTGGGAGACAAACTTGTGAAATTTCGAAAAAAAAACACGACATTTTATAATAACCATCGAAAGTGCTAAACAAAAGGATTTTTTTTTGGTAAATAACATAGCATTTTAAATGAAAGAAAAGTAATTAAATTTAAAATTTTATTTTAAATTCTTTAACACAAACTAATATAAAATCGGATACGCCTCAAAGTAAGTTAAAATGTTGAGTTATTTGTCGTTCACGTTTATCTTTCGCTGCTGTGGTTTCTGTAAACGCATATCAAAACGTCCTTAATTTCTTAAAGTATCCACTAACCTTTTAAACACATATCGAGAAGGTACGAGTACGTCTCTATCAGGATATCTTTCGCGGTACCACCGCAAAGCTAATATGTAGTTGTGGTTCATAAAGCAAGCTTCCATTAAATCAATTTTAGTTTGATACGGCATGGTAAGTAAATTAACAAAAAAATGCAAATAAACGAAAATGCAACTCACAAAAAAGAAAAAACAGACGCTTGAAAATTTTTATGTTCCAGTTTCCAATTATTATTTTTATAAACTTCAGCCAATCGCATTTTAACTGTGGGTTCAAAAAGAAATGCATACGTACTACAGTTTGTATATCACTTTATTATTTTTATCACGTAATAAGACATTCCTTTCATTTAAAATGCTATGTTATTTAGCAAAAAATTATCCTTATGATTAACCATTTCCATGGTTATCGTAAAATATATTGTTTTTTTTTCAAAATTTCACGAGTTTGATTCCCAGTTGTAGCAGGTGATTGTAAAAAAATATGTGTATGCAGTTCTAGTTTTTATTAAAAATAAAATGATGTCTTCTTTCAGTAAAATATCGTATCTTCAATATTTAATATACTTTCCCTCCATGTGAGGTAGTTGTGGGACGCCCTGTATAGGTATCATATCAGCTTTAAATTGAGTGCAAACGTCCGAATCGATAGAATAAATATTCACGAGCCAGTAAACGCTTACGAAAGAACTCGGGGTATTTACTTTTTTATTCGGTGGCTTCGTTAAC